ATCCATCCATCCATCCATCCATCCATCCCGGATCCATCCATCCATCTAGTATCAATCCCTCTATCTCCTCATCAATCTCATATTCATCCACCCATCCGTTCCGGATCTATCCATTCGCGCTTTCTGGACTTCGTAATAATGATGTAGTTTTACTGTTCCATCTTCCATAATTCGATCACCTCGTTGATGGGATGCAGCTCTACCGCCTATCACCCATTTAGTTCCTCTTTTTAAAAAAACCCAAGCTACACATTTCATGTAATAACCTCAAATCTTGGACCTTGGATACTCTCTCGCAGCTAGACGCATCAACTCTCGTGATGCCGTCCCAAAGGTTCCATATTAATAATGTTGCTGACACCAAAATTTCTAGAAAAAACTTCCTTTAAAATTCACACACGGGGCGTGCCACCCGAACTCTTGAAACTCCGCAGTGCATTTAAACAAATGGAAGTGTTTTGACCAAAAATAACCTCAGTGTATCAAGTGGATGACTGTAGGCATACAAGCGCATATATTTAGATGCCATAAAGTGTATCGTCTTAGCTAATTTTAGAATTTATGGATGTATGTAGGAATGTTCAGGACTACAGGGAGTATCTCCCTCCCCCCTCACCCCGCGCCCCTCCTTCATTACCATAAAATATTCAAAAGTACACAAGCACAGCGAAGCTGCTTCAAATACCCACCCGACTGTTCAAGATAAGATGTTCGGATTAATTTGATAGACACACACGCAAAAGGCGCCTGGAAAAGCACAAAAAAAGTGCGCTTGCTTTGCAAAAAAGTTGTGATTATTGACCTCTACAGAACTTGACTGGAGGTGGAGAAACTGTGGACGAGAGAAGGAGAAGCCTACAGAGAAAAACGTGGTCATGGCGTACCACCTCCCGTCATCAGTGCAGACAGTGGCAAATCTCAGTGACATTCCTCTCTCCCACTTGCATCAATCGATCCGAAGGTTCGGGACTCCTCGAAACCCTCACAAGACCTATGCATCAGCATCAGATCCACTCCCCTCTACACAGTACTTCCTGGTCAAAATCGACCCAACTGAATGGATGGATGACGACAGGCGCGTAGCCCCCACTTCCAGGAAAATTAACGAAAATGTCGTCTGATGAACTTATTCTTCAAGACAAGCTGGACCGCCTTACGGAATGCCAAAATCACAACCATTACGAAATGCAATGCAACTCCGGCATGTAACATAATAATGCCAATATCAAGCTAACTAGAGGAGCGTCGAGAAGGCACCGTCAGACTGTTAAAAATGCGATCACAAAATATCTCATCGTGAACGGCTGATTCATCACACCATAATCGTTAGTGTGATTTCAATGGTGAAATCGAAGCCACAACTGATTGCCCTTCGATAGAGAGAGGTAAATTTACCAAACAAGGGTCAAAACCATGCATGCCGGATCAGTAGTGATTATTGGCGCTCATATTTTGCAGTTAGAGAGAGAGAGATAGAGGCGATAGGAGGAGGCAGATATATAGAGTAGGAGAGAGTGAGGGTAGACAGGGACAGGGGTGGGGCACTAAGATTGAGTTGACGCTGTAGAAACCGTGTGCAGGGTAGCCAAGACAAGCACGGATCAAACCAAACTGGACCAATAAGGATGCAAAAAAAAAGGAATCAGGAGACTGGTTAGGAGATTGTGCCAGGTCAAAGGTCAAGTCACGGGCTAAAAGATTCACTCGAGTAGGGCAGGGCGCTAAAACAGCATCTCCTCCACGCACCGAACCGCAAGAGCGAAAGGAAAAAAAAAGGTGGGCAACGGCTTCGATCGGTGCGCGGCTTTGTACACAGGATAGGCGAGAGATGAGAGAGGAGGAGGGCAGTAGACGCGTCTCCAGTCCCTTCTTTTCTTCCTCTCTTTAAACAAACACCCACACACAAACACACATAATGGCGCTTGTAGAGGGATGGGGAAATAAGTACTCCAGTCGGTCCATCCATTCGCTCGTCCACCCATCTGCAGATCGAGTAGTCAGTGTCATTGTCGATTAGTCAACTGGTCAGTCTGTCAGTTTGTCTGTGTGCGTGTGATTATTGTTTTTCGCATATGTATATATACAGAAATAAACAAACTTAGGACGAAAGGGGGAGGAGTACTTCGTGTTTTACGTATGTGTTACTGTGCAGCAGCATGTGATGTGGGATTCACGAAAATTTCAGCGCGGAAGAAAGACACGATTGTGGTGGGCGGGAGGGTGTAGCTGCCTAAGGATAAATTATTTAGCTGGAGAGAAAGGAGGGGCAGGTGGAGCGGGGGGAGGAGAAATGGGAGAATTCTAGGCACTGGTGCGCGCACGCGCACATCTTTAAAAGCTGCCCATCGAAGAAGATGATGTTATCGTCTACTACTGCTGCTGCAATTGTAGCTGCTGCTGTGGCTGTGTTGTTGAGGATTGATCTGGCTGATTCGGGGCAAAAGTCAAGTAGGCCGGACTTCCTCCCCCACCCGATGTGTTAGCAGCTGTCGGAGGTGGAACCTCCTCCGCAAACCGCTTGGGTACAACAACCATAGGAGTTGTTGTTGAAACAGTAACGACGTTGGCACTAGTTGTTGTTATCGTTGTTGGTGCCGTCGTATTCGCCACAGGATGACCTTGAATAAGGTGAAAACCGAAAAAAAAATAGCACCTAAATAGCCTGGGTCTTCATGCGGCTAGGATTTACAAGAATAACTGTAAAGATGGTTGAGTACTTGAATCGTCGGAGCGTTGATACAAATCGGCAAATACTCATTACAAGAATCAACAAATATGGAGAGAAGAAGGGCCTATCCGCCTCACCTTCGGTAGAGGCGGCACCAGCGGAAGTGGAATTAACAGAGGCCGAGGAGGAGGATTTGCGTTCAAAGAAGCGGTGCGTCAGAGCCTCATCCGGTTTTATGCGGTGCCGAGGATCATAGACGAGCATCTTCTGCACGAGGTCGATGAACTTGTCGTAGTCCTCGGGCGCGTGACCCTCCTCGTTTAGTCGACGACCTGCCGGCCCACCGGTGTCTCGGCCTAGCACCTCGTGCAGAGGGCGGGTGTGGGGACCTTGGAAGCGGCACTGTCAGGGCATGACAGGTAAAACAATCAAAGTAAGAGGATTAAAAAAGGTACGGAACTACAGCGCATCGAATGAGATACATGTCTTGCCTTCCTTCCACGCTTCCATCTATCCACCCATCCATTTACTCATCAAAGCATTCATTCCTCCACCCGGTCAGTCGGACATTCTCAACGTTACCCAAACCTCACTCAACTCCTCACTCGTCAAGTTACTATTCCTTCCCTTCACTCCAATATTCAGCCTCCCGACATCCAATCAAACACAACTTAAAACCATCCAACAAATCATCAAGTCATTGGAACGTTCCCCTGCGTTTCCATTTTCAAAATAAAAATCACTAATAGCCCTCTCTCTTTCCCACCTTCATCGTCATATTCCCCTTTGTGTAGATCCGCCTCGGCCGATAGACGATGCCCCTAATAGTGACACAAGCCTTGGAGAAGGGAGAAGGTGGTATCGATGAGGAGTTTGGACCACCAGGAACAGACGCCGCGGATGCGATAGAGGTGGTATCCATACGATCCTGTGAAGAGGTCGTAGAGGAGGATGAGGAGGAGGAAACGGAGGAGGTGGAGACCACACTCGTCATCGTGGTGGAGGGCGAGGTGGAGGAGGCGGTAGTGGAGGTTGTGGTAGCTGGGAGAAAGTCGCTGATACGTTCAAAGAAGTGTTCCAGCTTTGGACTCTTCTCCAGCATCCACAAGGGTGGTAGACCCAACACCTCAACTATCTGTAGGAGCTGTTCCAGCTGTAAAATGAAAGACAATGGAGTGGATAGAAGACGGAATGCATAAGGTGGTGAATATTTGAATGAGTGGTATCGCTTAAAAAGGAGGTTGTCATACCTCATTTGAGCCGGAGAAGAGGGGTTCACCGGTGTGCATTTCAACGAGAATGCAGCCTAGCGACCACATATCAATGCTGAGGCCGTAGTCAAGGTTGAGGAGGACTTCCGGAGCGCTGAAAAAGGAGGCCACCCACATTCAAATGTGAAAAATTTGTCAAAGCTGAAGCAAAATAATTGATCTGCCAATTAAGTTGGTGCCAAACAATTGACAAGGGCTGCAATCGTCTGCTGGTAGTTAAATCTAAACGCCCCGATTTAGCTGACATTAACCAGAAGGAGATCAAAGACTTGAGTTTGGCTCAAAGACATGCTCAAATCGACGGCGAAGAAATTGTGCGCACAGAAGGCGAGTAGTTTCAAAACATTCTAACTGAAGAACTGGTCGATTCAACATTTTTGGAAGAGCCTAACTCTACCATCACCAACTAACACCTCATAAGGCTAAATCTGTTTTAACGTCCATCCAACGTTGAGGCAAGAAAATCCTCAATTCGAAGAGCAAAAGGCGGGAGAAGCATTGAGGGAAAGGAAGCGCCTACACTCAGTCAACTCACCGATAGAAGCGTGATTGAATGTACTGGTGCACGTTCTCATTGACGTGACAGGAGCTGCCAAAGTCGATCACCTTCAGATCGGAGCGTTTAGGCGTGACAAGGAGGATGTTCTCGGGCTTGAGATCGCAGTGCATCACACGCACATCGGGACGGGAGAGAAAGACCAGGGCAGCGCAGAGTTGGCGCGCGAACTTGAGGGTGAGGTGGAGGGAGACGCCGCGAAAGTGCGTGTAGGTGAGCAGCTCGTAGAGGTTGTAGGAGAGGCACTCAAACACCAGGCACCAATGGCCCTGGTACGTAAAGTATCCCTTCAGGTTCACTATTCAATGCAAAGCAAGATACAGATCATAGCGTTGGTGGTGAACAGAAAGAAGTAGTCAAATCGACGGTCTTGGAGGTTTTCAGCTGCACAACGCCAATAACAGGCTATCAGCATTTGGGAGGGGTTTCAAAAAACCGTAAAAGAGGACTTGATCAACTTTCGCTAGCCTTAGACGGTTCAATAGGGCAAAATCGTGCGCCCGACTTTAAATTCAAGGCGAAGAACTGCCCGCTTAAGGTTCCCAATTCGTGCGCCCGACACGCTCATCAAGAAACAAGCCAATTCGAAGACGGCACTTAGCAATACTTCTAACCACTTCCAGCTAACAGTTAAATCTAAGTCGGGGACCCTGCATTACTGGAATTGATTGCGAAACTGTTCAAGCATCTCTCGCAAATCACATTTTGCCTGCTGTTGACATTTGAGCCTAGAGAGACCTCAGTACGAATAATCTCAGAGTGCAACCGATTAACCATTTCTTGAAGACGGCTAGCTCTAGCTTCAAGGCGAAGAAGAGACAATGTAGCGAGCCCCCTAAATCCATTCATCGTTTAAATGGGGAATCGTTCGGTGAAAAAGCGATTGCACGATACATTTGTTAAGGATTGGCACTGTACTGAGATCGAACTATCAACCCATGTTACATAAATGAATCTCGAGAGGGAATGCTATTCTTCCTGCAGGAACGTGAATTCTACGGTTGATGCCGAGACCGAGACGGATGAGAATCGACAACCTATTCCTTAGACAGATAATTAAATCATCAAATGCTACGGTTACAGGTGTCCACTCTCCAGGCAAACTTATCGGTTAGGCGCTCCGGAGAGGCCCTAGCTACCTCCCACTTGCCTCAAGCACTTCACAGGGTTTAAAGGGATGGAATCATCCAATCAGAAAAGCATTTCAACTGTGCTTCAAATCACAGAACAGGCAAATTAAGTACAAAAAATAACCAGAACAAATGCCAGTAATGGCAGAGCTTGAATGTTCAACGCCATGGCCCAGGACCGACTTTAAAAATGACTTTTTTGAGATAGCTGAAGTTAATTTGAAAGAGAGACCGCTTAAAGTGATTGTGCGCGTGCCCAGATGGTAGTTCTTCTCACCCAGTCCCAAGGCAGCGTGAATCAATGTGGTTTTCAAGGTTACGAAGGCAATCCACTTACCGACATAGTTGGCGCCCACCTCGGCGGCCCTCTGTTCGTTCTCCTGAAAGTGCGCAATCTCGCGCAGTAGTTTAATCTCGATCTCAGCTTGGGCGAGAAATTGGCGACGGTTTTTGATCACCTTTATGGCCACCTCCTCGTGCGTTTTGCGGTCGTGGGCTCGGAAGACCTGCAACGTTCGCCGAAGAGGCAGAAAATATACTACCGAGCAAAATTAATAAGCATGCTAACTGTTATTTAAATGGGCAAGCATCTTCATGGCATGGGTCGTTCACAATGCTGTTATCCCAACTGCACTTTATCATATCAGTGAAACGGGTATTGAGTGGAAGGATAGTGGAACATGGGAATACTAACAACTAGGCAGTTGCAAACCTGACAATAAGTGCTCATGTAAGCATCATGGGTTACCCCTACCACTGCGTCTGATACTGCTCAATCAGGTCCTGAGTAGATTCATCCTTCTCACATTATGTTAATGCTGGAGTCTAAGCACTTTGGCGGATAAATTTCGCCCAGTAAAACCAGAACTTCATCAATTTCATGGTTCCCCAATTTCTATTTCGAGAGCTCTATGCATCCGTACAGTAGAATGGGCTAACGACCTCAAGGCGGAAAGGGAATTATTGACTCATGTTCCAGAAAATTTCTGCTGCCCTCTGTACGACCAACACGAAGCCTTAGTGTTTACACGACTCACACGCCCTCCAGCCGTTCTAATTTGCACCGTCCCAGGGTAATGTATTTAGAGTGCAGCTAAGAGGGTTACAAAGATACATTTACCAAACTTTGCATTAAGTATTGATCAAAAGCGGTCCCATATTACTAAAATGATAGTAGATATCAAATTATAGCCCGTGGGAAGCGCTGAGGATCGCCATCTAACGATATGCCACAGCTCGAGTGCACATACAGATACAAAATCGGTCGCTACTTGAACGAGGAGTAAAAGAACAACTTTCAATTCAAAAATTTTATTAAGAGAAGTCCGGAAATCCCTTATCATACAAGAACAAAGATAAAAAAAAATACCTTCCAACATCAATCATTTGCCAGTCTACAGAACACCCACCAATCGACTGACCCGCCATTTACCAAGCCAGCAGTCATGAGATTTAACGACAGTTTACCAATCAACTACCAATGGTACCCCAAACCAGATAATGGCATTTGACTGGAACGCTAGAAGTCAACTGCAGCACAGCACAAACTCACCTGTCCAAAAGTGCCCTTCCCCTTGATATCTGTGATCTCGTACCGATCTAGCCACACACTGCCAATCTTGAGAAAGTCGTTAGCAGCCTGATGACGGAGGAGACGGTTACTGCTGCTGCTACTGCTGTTGCTGCTCCCACCAGCAGCCTGAACGCTTCGTGGAGCGGCAACAACGTTGGAAGATGCGGCTGAGATATTAGGAGCTGCAGCAGCAGGAGGGGGAGGAGGAGGGATAGGGAAGGCCTGGCAACTCACTTTCTGTTGCTGTGGTTGTTGCTGCTGCCGATTGCCTAGAATACAATAATCACATTGGTAAGGAAAGTTCAGATGGTAGCTGGATAGAATTGGGATGGATGAATGAGTGGAGATACAAAACGATTCTTACCAACGTCGTAGAAGTGTTGCTGCTGTTGCTGTTGAAAGGAATTGGGCGCGGCATTTGCATTCCAAACCGCTGCAGCTCCATTAGCAGCACGACCATGGTGCATTTGGCAACAGCATGATCGATTGGAGGTCGTGTTGGAGCTTGAATTCGATCCAGAACCCGTGAAGAGGCAGCAGTGCCCAAAGGTGGTGCTGGTGTTGGTAGCGGCAACAGCTGGAGCAGCTTCGTGGCATCCCTTGCGGTCGCGTTTCATGATGTTCTCTTCGCATGCTTGCTCTCTTCGTCTCTTTTTGCGGAAGTAGACCTAGAGGTAAACGGGGAGTAGACATTCGGTCGGGATACTGGGAACGTCATCCACTCTACCGACCATTCAAGCATCTACCAACCACCGATTGATGCAGTGATCTATTACTCTACTGACTTACCGGTCGTTCACTAATCTAATAGGCATCTACAGGTCAATTGACCATCTAGTGATCTATTGATCATCGCTGCTCCTGTGGAAGGAGACCTAGGGGAGAGAAAAAGGGGAATAAAAAGGGAAGATGGGATTGAAGTAATGGAGACTAATGATACGCCCCTCAATCCACTGGTCTCCCATCGGTATGCCTAATTTACCGACTTTCTAACCTATCGACTATTCATTTACCTACAGCTCATATTACGGGTGTACGGACCATTCAACGAAGAGCTGGTCATCTGCCAACTTAACGACCATTCACAGATGGTATACCAATACATAAATATATCACATGAAACTTGAGATTTTCATTCACTCTCCATTATTATGCAGGAGAATGGTCGAAGGAAAATTAATTGATCAACCTAACATCTAATCGTCAACTGTTCAGAAAAACCCACACAGACATAGCGGTCATTCACCGATCTTTCACAGTCCCGCCTATCCTTTGCCAACGACCTCTAACCATCCAAAATGCTGACTTGAGGCGCTACATTGGTGACGTTGCAGCAGGATACGTTGGAAATATTTTACCTCCCACGAAGAATACACCCGGTGGCCGTGAAGCATTAGACGAAACACCGTAGACTTAGGAAGCCCACAACAACAGAAGCCATAAAATGCATTACGTTTGATAACTACCCTAATTTTATATTTTGGGTAGAGAAAAACAGATTAAATGCACAAGAAAGGGAAAATGTGGAAACAAAATGTGCCTTGGCATAGGTGACAGAGCGGTCTCCTCAGCCTCCGCTAATTCCACCACCATTTCGTTGCAGCGGCGCTAGCCTGCGCCTACAGCGCTCGCCACGCATAAGGGAATGCCAAAAGGCGCTACAATGGATTCAAAATCCTTCCCATTTTGGAGAATTAACCTTCCTTGACGCACTAAGAGTCGCAAGTCACTTCAACGCTGCTATGATGGACGATGCAGAAGAGCAATAGCTTTGAGAGCTAAAGAAAATAGTGACAAGCTGGTATCCATAGCGATGTAATACAGCTGTGCCGATAGTTCCTCAAGTCTTCCATAATGCCATAATAATTCTGCTTCCAGACTTCAACATTTGATGCCGTTGCCAGGAGCACCTCCAGATGCTATGAGGTTGAATGGCAATCAGCCTGCCCACCATTCCATGCAACCGTCCTTTTCCACCTTACTTCAAGGAAACCTCCACTCTTAAACATCCAAGTTCAGAAGGAAAACCGAATGTCACAGAACTAGCGAAGCCAATCAATCCACCTGTTTGTCACCCCCTCTCACACAAATGGAGAAACAACCTCGAGCATTGTAGAACCATTTGGCAGCAACTTAATCAACCACCATGCAACAAATTTCTCCAGACTAACAAAAGTTAAGTTTTTGGGGCTGCAAAACTGACAGACAGTCCGCATATTTCACAGGTCACACCAATCTACCGTGTGTGTACGCGCACGTTCACACAAGCAGTTTGACAGACGTGTGTGTGTGCGTGAATGGGTGTCTGCGGGAGGTAATACGATTTACTAGGCACACCGGCATGACCTCTAAATCAATTACAAATGTATAAACATAAGTGCATTTTGCATGTGCACAAAGCAAGTTGGTAAGAGGTTTGGTGTCTACGTGAACTTCACATTACCAGATACAATACTAGTTGAAAGGCGACCATTATAACACAGCTGATGCTCATGTCACTGTAAAGGTCAAGAGAGTGCGTACGATTACGTAGGTCTCTTCAGGCTTCAGTAAACCAGTCTCCCATGCTAGTAGTAGACAAGCCTTTCCGTGAATGCTTGCGTGCACACACGTACGCTACGCAATTTCGTCCGGGAGTAACTTGGGTGCCACACTGGGTGCAGCGCGGTGAGATAGGCCCGACGCCTTCTAGTCTGATGAAGAATGTGATCGGTTTCAGCGATGCCCTAGTTGTTCTAAGTGGATTAGTCGGGCAGGATCGAAGACTGGCATTTACCGTGGATGGTTGGTACTGCGGAAATTCTGGTGGGCAAAAAAGCGAGACTTGTGTAGTATGGGTTCAAAATAAACACCGCAAAGTTCTTACAATAGAAAGTGGAGGAAAACTGAACCACCCCAATGATACTGCAACTATGACGAAATGCGGGGAGGAAAAAAAATCGGGATGAAGCTTCCAGAAATCAATTACGCGAAATGCGATTGACATATGGAAAATCTTGTTTACTGCATAGCATTGTGCTTCTTAAGCACGCATGCTTAATGTGATTTGACAACAGAGCGGATGAAAGATGAATCATCAAGATACACGACTATCGTGGAGCTCAAGCGCCGCCTCATTCTGCTTTAAAAAAAGCATTTATGACAGTCTACGCAGAAGAGTGGTCACACGGAAGTGCTTTAACACCATGAATATGGTTGAAGATATGGCTTAAGGCAAATCGCCTCCAATAAAAGCGAATTACACTAGCCATGGAACATAGGTTAGGACTGAACAATGGTGCCTAGGCAAAGCTGTTCAACGAAAGTGGACGAAAGGAAAAACTAACCCCACCAACGCCTGAGTGGAAATTCGTCCGATGACGATTGACACAAGAAGCCAATGATGAAGAACGCTAAAGACGGCGCTTAATACTACGAAGCGGTGCATATGCTGCTGGTCCTTCATGAATCAATCGCCCGCTAGTCTCACAGTCTTTCTTCTCTGGAGAATCACAGTAAAGTTAAATACCTGTAAAAGAAATTTGGAAATGGCAGTAGCGGAAGTGCGATGAAGTGTGAACAGAGCCACTTTAGCTGATGCTTGAAAGAAAGCTCACATCTGGATAGAGTGACGAAACACAACGATGGAAAAAAGTCATAAAAGAAAGACGTTTGGTATGAATGCTTGGATCTGTCAGCTCGAAACAGAGGCCAAGAAAAATAATGCTGTGGCAAGCTTGAAAAAAATCCCAGTAGTAAGAATTTTTGAAATCGTCATGCGGTATGGACGGTGAAATCTTGCCAACTTCTTACATCATGATTTTGGGCAACTCCACAATATTCCAGCGATGTACGCTTCACAGTAGACCTAGACGAAGTACACACTCCGAAACTGTCTGACTGTTGTAAGTGGTTCACTGAAAACATTTATTACCGCAAATGCATAGACTAGGTCTTGCACAACTACCTCCAAGCTAAATAGGCTTTCAAGAAAATGGTTGCAAAATATGGAATGTTAATTCTAAAACCTTCAAACTATCCTTCGACCCAAGCTCTGGGCGAAGCAGTAATTTCTGCGGTGTTTTCCAGACATGAAATAAATCAGCCAGCTCTTTACAGCACCTCAATTGATGAAACATGGGATTTACAAGTACGAATTCAATGGAGGCGACTTACCTCATTGATGGTCTCGTACGTTTGTATCAGCTTCACCGACATTCGTACCAAAAGCCGCTGCGGTGGTGGAGGTGGCGGTTGCTGCTGGTGTAAGAGCCGGCCAAACGGAATCGCATCAGTGGAGGGCGCAGGCACCGCCGCCGCAGCAACCGTTGAAGCCATAGCCGCAGTGGTAGTGACGGTAGTCGCAGCGCTAGTGGCAGTACAGTAGGGAAAGGTCGGATAGCTGTACGTGTTGTTGGCGTTGGCGCTCGCGATACTGCTTCCAGTCACGGAGAGAGGACTTCCGCTGGAACTACTCAGCTCCATCGCCTCAACTTCCATTGGCTGCTGTTGAGGTCCCACCGTTACCGATGGCTTGGCTTTCAGGGAGTAGGATGGGTCCAGATTCGCGTAAGCCGAAGCAGACATCACATTGACAGAGGAGGAGGCTGTCACAGAAGTCAGAGCTGGTGCCGGCGGTGACTGTGGTGGTGGTGAGGAGGTAGTAGTAATGACTGTTTTTGTCCCAGTCGGTTGCTGCTGCTTCCGTTGCTGATGATGGTGATGATGGCCAAGCTGGGAAAGCTGATCGAAAGTGACCAGTTGGCCATAGATCGCGGCGCCTAGAGAGGTGAGGGAGGACATACTGTAAACGCTCAGGCCTAGGGACGAAAGCGCAGCGTCGGGAGCATTCAGGTCCGAGTGCTTCTTGCACATCTCTGAAATGAAAGAAAGGCGTGTAATGGGTTACAAACTGCCTCCTGAGTTGACCTATGAATTCAGTTGGAAATGCTCTACTTGTCCAAGCTTTATGGCACCGACTTGCACGGAAATACTAATTTCCGCAATATAAAAATATTAATAGATGCAGACACCGAGCCAATTTCTGGTGTTTCGAACTCCATACTTAAAGTGATCTATACCCCTCGCATTCCGAAACGTTCTAAAGCTGGACTGTGCTACTAGAGGCGTGCAGAGGTCCCAAACCAGACCTCTAAAGCATCTGCAATCGAAGAGGACAGACACTCCCAAAATCCCATGATTTTATCAGCTTTAGAATTTCCCTCTGTTAATATGGGAATATAAATCTTCAAAATCTAGACGAAATATAAGTCCTGACATTTAATCTTCCTTAGCACTGAAGAGTGTCAATCTAGAGTGGGTATCATGGAAGTAACAAACACCTTACTCGAAGAGTCCACATCATTGTAAGCTTGCATAAGCAGCTAAATTATCATGATTTTGAAATAATGGAGCTTAACAAGACAAAAAAGTCTTGAGCCTCAGAATGCGATTAATCGCGCCCGTCTAGACTCCATAAAGTTACTCTTCAACTAAACTAAGCTCTATGAAAATATTTTTTCCCACCTACATCAAAGGGATAAGGATAGCCATAATGAACGCCTGTTTCTCACAGAAATGAATAGGTCAAGCTGTTTATCTAAACGTGTTGTTAATAAAAGGGCGAAAGCCTATCCGCCCACTCTTTGAATAGTCATTTTTGAAATGGTTAAGCATTTATAGAAGTTAGATACTAATGCTACACTGAGATGTAAATGTTTACATCCACTAGCTTAGAGCAAAAAACCAACTTGATAGTTAAAAAAACGCTTCATCGTCCAACTACAGCACAACAGCAAAAAACTCCAGGAATATCAATCAACGAAGTTTCCGATAATTTAGCGATCAAACAGAGCAAATGAATTCTCAGTTTCCCATTAGTGATTTGGATGTTCAACATCGTTCTGACAGTTAGGTCTCAATCACACAAACGTGAGGCATTTAGCCACGTGGCCCACGTAAGAGATAAAGTTGAGCAGAGCTAAGATTATTAAAATGGTTATGGGGGATAATGCGAATGACAAGCTGAAAGCAGCCAGGTTAAAGGAAAGCAAAAAAACAAGGGATACATATTACAACCACTTATCCGATTCAAACCAGCTAGACAAGAGGATCTGATAGTCCAAAGTCGATAGGGGACATTAGACCCTATACAGACGGGCTGATTAAAGTGAACAGAGCAGAGGAAGCGGATCAAATTCAACAGTTACCTTCATCCCAAAATAAGTCGGCCAAGTTGGATGAGAAAAAAATTGTTGGATTAAATTCAACTCTACACAGATGTAGAGAAGAAAAGGTAGTGGATAAAGGCGCCAAGTCTAGCGACCAGCCAGTGCACCAGCTCTCTCTCTGGGAGACACATGCTGCCTACCAAAGGGCACTGATCGGCACACTGCCTCACCACACCTTAGGCACACATACACACGCCACACCACACAGTGCGGTGTACACACCTACAGCTATGGTGACAAATCTGTCCTTTCGTCAGACACACTCTTCAAAACCTACTTTATAAACCAGTTCTCTGTGCTATTCACATCTAGGGGTTACGATTTTGCTAGTAAAAAACGCACTATCCTGTTAGAATTGCTAAATGATTTGCTCAAAACCGCATACCCCAGCTAATCAGAGTTCCAAGTCGCTAAAAGACCAATCTGTTACCTCATCCCTATCTCCATCAACTGTTCTCTCTGCAGTTCCCCCTGATTGGAAAATATGATCTGGTAGATCAGGCTTCGCGAGTGTTACAGGGGAAATACAGGTGCTTTGAAGGGGAATTAACAGCGACTCATTTACCTACTCTAATTGTGACATAGGTGGGTCATGAAATAAAGCCGGATAACGCTAACAGCATGATGTAAATGATCGATGGGACATATTTTGGAAAAAAAAGCACCAAAAGGTAGATGGCTGCACTTTTTTCAATGCACTAGTAATTACTATACTTCGTTTAGAGATTGACGCAAATTGTACTGATTAAAAGCCCTTCCGAGCAAATGAATGAAGTGACGTCTGACTGTGTTTCTAGCGCTATACTACGCAGAGATCCATGAGTGGAAAAAAAGGTAAATGTGCGGAGAAACTGGTGGATTGGTAAGGATTTGGAGTCAGGATTAAATGTGGAGGTAACATCAATCCGTATCCTATGTTCGAATCCAAGAAGAACTGCAAAAAACAACTGGGAAAGCATAAAACCCCGTAAATGTAATCACAGTTTTTCAATTGACAAAGTGGATTGGTGGATGGGGCGACAGATGGAATCACAGATAGTTGGGTGAGGGATGAGGGGATGGATGAAAACTAGGGAGCAAGATGGCGGTGAGAATTAACGATCCACAGACGCGTGGTCGGAAATGAATGGAAAATCAAACTCGCCATGACCACCATGTATCCTTTATTTGAGTCACAAACATGTAAATAAAATCCTTATTTTTTGTCTCAGCATAGCAAAGCCAATGCGCCTAAGTGACCATGTAGGTGAATGAATGGAGGGTAAAGACGAAAGGTTTAGCAAAACGATGGACAAACCGGTGAATGGAGATTGGCTGATACCAACTCTCGGAACACATGAAATCCACGTCACAATCATCACACACTCTCATATTCGCCCAAAACTCCAAAAGAGAAATTTCAATCATCGCTGTGGTGGTAGTAACAGCGGCAGAAGCTTTTGCTGCTTCTGCAGCTGCAAACCAGTGAAGGAGGGAGAGTAATTAGTCAGCCCTTGAAACAACTTGTGCGTGCGTGTGTGCGCACGCCCGCGCAGTGTGTGAGTCAGACGCGCACACGCACTGCACACAGTGTGTGTATGTGTGTGCGTTCGTGTGTGTGGCTTTATTCATTTTCGAGCAAGTTTGCTAGCCTGCCTAACTAACTCACTGACTAGGCTGGCCCTATTCGCTAAGTCTCGGTTACAGTGGAATCCCAATCGAATTAGACCGGGTTGGACTTATTGAATTACCGGAAACCGCTGTTCCTCCGCCACACTCGCTCTACCCTACTCTTGACCTTGACAAATGACGATGAAAGAGTCAAGGGTTAAACCACTTCCTCTGCCGAAATTGCTGCCATCAGCCTAAACGAGAAACCAGAGAAACGTCTCAAAGGCTTGTTAACTTTCCAGAGGCAACAACAGCATTTGATGCGTGATGTGAATGACAAGCAAAAAATTGAAAGCATTTCAGGAATCTACTGCTAGAAAGCTACCAGCTTGCTAAAGCATCATCGACTATGGGAACACGTGGGAGGGAGACCCAGCCAAGGTTTGTGAATGCTGTGAAAACCCTACAGTTCGTAACCTGAATCCCCCTTTCCAGGCGTTTCGAAATGGAAGCGCGGAGGTTTATTAAAATTAGATCTGCCTCTACAAAAACGGGCTTACTTGCGAAAGCCTTCCAGAATGTCGCAGTGGTGAAGGCCTTATTTATGCAAAAACATGACATCTAGAAGTCAAATGAGAAAAGAGAAACCAAAAAGAACCTGCTAGTTAAAGGGAATCCTTCTAATCCCTAAACCCAATCGACTCCTGGCAATTCTCCAGAGGAAGACAGTGGACGCTTTAAAAATATTGTTGGCTGCAGAAACAAAAGGGCAAAGTAATAATCCACCTCGGCTTGATAAACAACGATGAAAGGAAGATTTGCAAAGCCGCAACCTTCACCTAAGCTATTCTACCGATAGCATACCTTCCATCCTTTGAAAAAGGGCAACAGTACCGACAAACGCCTGCTGTGGGAACGGATTTAATCAACAAGCCAGAATCAAGCACAGACAAGAAAGGGAAATAAGTGTATGATGCGCGAGAATGATAAAATCCAACCGCGGCTTCGTCGGGGAAATTAACGCCATTCAAATCCCGAACTAGGATTGCTCTTGGGCGTCTCCAGGCAGAAAATAGAAGGGCAAAGAGACTAAATATCTGCCAGTTGGAGAAACGAGGCCTTTTAGATGACCAAAAAGCGCGGTAAAAAACAGCCGTGGCAGATGTCCGATGACAATACTATCCAACAACGGTTCCATGTGAAACATAAATACTTTACCAATCACAGTGAAGCTAACCCTAGATACCCTACAGAAGGCAGAAACCAATCACCGACTTGGCAAGGTAACAGCAGAACTAAAGGTAATAATGGTAAAAAAAAACAAAATCAAAGCCCTAACAAAAGGTAATAGTCACTAGGATGTTGGGTAAACAGATGATATGCGACGCTCCAACTGATGAAAAGGAGGGGATGAATTAAAGATCCCTTCAGGCATACAGTACCAGCAGCATATCTCGCACAGAAGCCTTTTCTGTAGTAAGACAACACATATTCAGCAAACGTGACCCATGGTCCAAAAGTCCCAAATGATCCTTCAACCAAGCAATTCGTTTATCTGCCTCTTTTCAAACGACTGACTCGCTCCAAGAGGGAGGAGAACAACTAGATATCCAATAAACTCAGTAAATAGCCCTTCGAACAAACTCTCTCACTGTTTCTTGACCTAGAAAAAGTTAATCATATCCAGATCTGGCTGCATTTGCCTAGAACAGATGACTTCTGAACCCTAGAATAATACAGAAACAAGCAAGCAAGGCTAGCGAATGGGTAGCTATACTACTAGCGCTGCTACCGCTATTACCGCCACTGCCGCTGTTGGCTAACCAACTGGAAATTCGGTAGGCAGCTAGCAAGCAAGTAGGCAGGCAGGCAAGCAAGCAATGAGACACGCAAAGAGAAGTATTTTTGGTCACTACACACGTACACGCAGAACCTGCGCAAAAATAGTAGGCACGACACGGCGCACGGGGCGGACGAGCGAGCGAACGAGTGGGGCAGCCTGGCAACGGCTAACACCCACGCACTAGCACGCATGCACATGCACGCAGTAGAGGGTGGGAAACACGTCCACACACATGTCTAGACGCCGAACAGAAGTGAACTGCCTACAGACGCGCTTGGGCGTTGGAAAGACCCAGCGCTTCGAGCTAGCAACGCGCATAACGAAGAGAAAACCAATGGACACCATTTACGGCACTTCCTAAACGATGAACACTTAAATTTTGGGGTACTAGAAAAATATCACCCTCCCCTTCAAGCGTCACACAACGGTTACTAACACTTATTTCCGAAAGTCGAAACCTTGAATAGGGAAATCGATCTAGCTTCTAGTTATTTCAGTGAACATAACCTGGGCTTTTCAAAAGGCAAAACGACTCATTTGTGTTTGATAGCCCCCTTGAAGGCCAAAAACTGTCACAGTTACAAAAGCTATTAGCAATGCAACCGTGTAAATAAAGATATCTATGACCATTTCAGGACCACGGCTGCGTTATCCATGATGAGGTACTGAGCATTTGCTGTCCTTACGTCCCCTCAGTCTGCTAGCCCTCGACGAATGCAGAGTAGTGTGCAACTAACAGACGGCAGCGCGCTGGAGACGGAGCCCAGCGCACAAGCGGGAAAGGAGGGAGGGTAAGCGGTGTGCTGATGCAGAAACCTTCCATTTTACGGCTTCTAACCTCCCCGTGTCAGTGTACCTCGACAATGACATTATACGCCAGATTAGGTCTCTAAGACCCACATGAATAGAAGCTTAAGTTAAGGCAAACCGATTGGGTAGCCCGCGTTGGATGTACCACTTGTCCTTTTTAGATAGGCACGTAAAACTACTCGGTAAATTTCATCAATACTTGCAGTCTCCGCCCCTTGAATGCATTTTGTACAGGCACTAAAATGCCACAACGAAGGTAAACTAACATTCGTGCCACTAATCTATTCACACAAATACACAAAGCACAGCCCTTCTGCTTTGTTACATCAAAGGGTAGCGATTGAACGACATTAAATTTTGTAGAAGGAATATTTAGCTAGGTTTTCGGCAGGGATTGAGGGGGAGGGTGTCGAACGTGATGAAAAAGCACACGAATGAATTATACCATGAAAAACTCGGCACGTGATCTTTGAATGCAAAGTGATCACCAGTTTAAATGGCATGAAATGACTCAGAGATGGGTTCCACGCGTCGTGTTAGTACAGAAAATTGACAAACTGGCGACAAGCGACTAAACTGGTAGAGAATTTTAAGGATGCAAACATTTATTACTAGAAATGAAAAAGAATCCTAGATTATTGGACGCGATTTTTATAAACAAATGAAACATTCTCGAATATTTGATGGCTTAATCTACTAGAGAAAATAATCACAACAGCCGGACTCATGTTAGTTCATTAATATTGCAGAAATGAAGGGTTCGAGTTTCCATCAACAAGCACACAAAGAGCAACGGCATATATGAAATGAAAAGCATAGCTAGAAAGACTTCTCCACCACATTAGGAACCTAGCTTAACCTTTGAATGAAACATAAAACGGCGGAGATGTACCCTGATATGCCACCTTCAAAATGTGAGAAGAATACGTACTTTTAGAAGCCAAGAACAGCAAAATAAGTGGTATTAAGCCAGCCTCCACAGGAATAAAAGCATGAATGAAAAGCGGAATAGTAGTAGGCCTGAAAATAAATAGGGAAGAAGGACCTAGTTCTCCGACTCGTCTGGTGACTTATTCGACCGTTGCTTTTACATAAACATTCGAAAGTTTAAAAATAAACTCAAAAAGGCAAAAGCTGGGAAAAGTATTTCTAGAAATCTCGGCCAAACCTCAGAGACAACTCCATTAAAGACTCAAAATCGATCACTAGCCGCCACGCAAACCGAGACATAGAAAATCAAGTAGCAAACAAGTAGATGTAAGGAATAAAAACCTTGCTGGCCCTGCTGTTGTTGTTGTTGCTGCTGCAACTGCTGTTGCTGTTTCTTTGTTTCCACCAAATCAGCAGCAGTAGTCGTGGTGACCACGGCACCAAACGAAGACGGGGGCAGTGCACTCATTGCGTGAAAGGCGGGAGAAGACAGAGAGGCAATCGGTAAATCCACCGGGCTTCCTTCGAGCTTTCGAAGCTACTACTGCCTCTGCGTTGGCGCTTGAAGGATTAGTCGGGCGCTTGCGTACGAATCGCCTCCGGTTATTTATTAGGACTGCAAAAGTGGATGACAAAAGTGGTGCTGATGGCGGTTGTAAACAGTAACAACAGCGACGTTGATGATGGAAACAATAATAACAACAACAAGGATGGTGGTAACAGTAGCGGAGGGCATAATCAATGTATTTGTGCGTGCCTGCATGCGCACACACAAGCACAATCACTTAACAAGCGAGCTAGCGCGCGCACAGGCTAGCATGCGGTGCACGGCACAGCGCGTTTTTGTACTGTGCCGTGCTGAACACACCCGCGCACACACATGGAGAAACGGACCCTCATAAAGAGTTGGACAATTTCGAGGTAAAAAAAACAAAACTAATAGAGTGGGGGGAAGGGATGAAATGACGCGAGGTCGAGAATATGGAGGGATGCAGTACTTTGTCACAAGAGAAAATTTATGCTGGAGTATGCACAAAGGCTAGAAATAATCCCACAACAAACAAAAGAAAAGGGAAAGCACTGAGCTGAAACAAGAGTACTATGAATAATAGCCTATGTTAAGAATAAATTTTGGAAAAAGACCTATCGATCTCCAGTACAAGTCGCAAGCACAGGAAAATTAGACAGCAAATATTAAGTAAACTAGCGTAATAATCAGAATCTAATGCATTAAAGAAATAAATTCCATATGAAAAACCACTAGAAATATTACTTGACATTAAATGACCACTCAAGCTATAGCAAAAGATAAAGAGGGGATTACAAATTTGATGCGAAGGCTCCTTTTTAACTGGTGGGAAAATCGGTAAACATGTGTCATATTTCAACATAATGTGCAACCTAAACCTTTCAGAAAAACTCCGCGTAAAAAACTAAAAACTAAGATAAGAGAACGGGGCTGCTTTCGACTAGGGTAGCTGTATCATGGAAGCCCAAACATTCTTCTAAAGTGAATCAGACGAAAGATAAGAAAAGCAAACAACAAACGCTGCCATACAAGCGGAAAGCAACGAAAAAGAAACAAAGCAAACGTACGGAAAATAAAAGAAGTCGACAAACTGCCATCATTGGCATCAATGAAGCCCGGATCGCATAGTATTTAGCTTACTTAAACAACAATGGCGCAATTTATTATTTTCTGAAAAACAGACTAGTATTTGTGAAGTTTAAAAGTGTGCCATCAGTAACTGCAAAGCAAAGTCCTTTATTCTAGGGGTAAAGTTTAATTTTGGCTTAAACTTAAAGTATCATCTAGGGTATGTTTTGCGCCAATTTTATATCCCGCTGTCAGGTATTTTTAATTTTCTAGCATCAACAAAATTAGGTTCTGAATAAAAAATAGCTTAAAACGTGATTTATGTTTTCAATGCTATCATATTTTGGAAGCTTTTTTTTGTTGAGTTATTTCGGATGGACGCCAAGAATCCAAGTTAATAAATAGCTTAAACCTAATTGTCTTCTGCTCTTTCAAGGAACTGTTCATTGTATCGCATCTGAATATGAGGAGTCTGTCAAAGTTGGCTAGCTTACTAAACCAACATTGCCTCAGAAAAGCGGTTCTTTGGATTGTCGTGGACCACAATGCGAAAATAGGCCCACGCCCACTAGTTGGAATACCTCTGTTCACCAGTCGAAGTCACGGAGACGGAGTGGTGCCGCACCCCCACCAAGGGTGACCTTCCCTTCAAGACAGTAAATCGCAGCAATGGTGCAACTCAAAAGTGCCTTCAAGTCCTCTTTCTTAGAAAAGAGGACCAACGGTCACTAGGAGTTGTGGCCGCCTGGTCCTCCAACGACCCAATGCCAGGGAAACGCTCATACAGTGTAAAAGCATCAGCCTAAGAAGTCGTCCCTCCACGTTCAAAAGCGCCCAAATCTTGGCATAAATTTATCTATGCTGTGAAAAGGGAGCATACCAAATGTACATGCAAGTGACTTGACAATATTGCCACCGTCCGATAGAAACGTTAATTTACACATAAAATACGGTGAAAAAACAAAGAGCAGAGGGTTTAATGGACTCCCTCCGATTCATTTCGCGTCTTTTTCGCCTCAGATATCCCAAATCGAATCGCTCTAGCATTCTTCTTCTCTTCTTCGGATATTGGGCCACCGAATCGTTCTAACCGCTTTCGCTTCCGCTCCGATTCCTCAGAACTACCGGTTGTTCCCTCCTAATTTAAGGATCCGGAAAAAAACTATTGCTATTGACAAGTATTGAAGTGAAAGTAGTATGCTAAACAAAAAATTGCCTGTTTGGAACCATTAACACCAAACCGCAGTGCTCGTGCTTTCCATCGTTCTGAGTCCGATTTCGGTACTGTCGTAACTGGTAGACCAAATCGTCTAGCTCTCTCCATTCTCTTCTCCCAATCAGCAGCGTTTCCAAGCGGCCTATGAGATGGCGTATTACCGGTGGTATTTACAGAGCCATCGCTACTGTCACCGAAACGCTGTTTACGAAGGGCGATCCGCTGAAAGAGACCGAATCAGATAACAGAAAAACAGTCGACACACACCTCCTCCTGTGTCATCTTGGAGATGTCGGTTTTCACAATAGGTGTGGCGGTTTTATCCGAGTCATTTTCAGCAGGTGCTCCCAACCGTGGCTGTTGATCCTCAGTAGAGAGTACTGTGGTTGGTGCAACTACAACAACATCGTCCGCAGCAATATCATCTTCGTCTAACAACTCAGCTTCCTCTTCCGGCTGAACCGTTACCACCGAGTCGCCAGCTGACGACAAAATAAGGCGGCGGTAAGTGGTACCTTACCTTCGTGTGCAAGAATGCGATCTACCAGTTCTTGTTTGGATCCCGAAACGGGGAGTGAAGAAAGGACACAAAGCTTCTTCAGTTCTGCCAACTAAAACGCAATAAGCAAGACAAAATATTGTAGCATGGGAAAAAAAACCAGAAGCCCTCGGATGGAATGGTACTAAAAATATTTGAATTCAGTTCCCATGGACAAGCCCCACTAAGAATAAATCATATCGAAAAAAGTCTGAAAGTAGTAAGGAAAATATGAGGGGTGAAACCCATACACAATTGATTCTGCAATCAAAAACAAGCGCGCCCCACGTACTATTTCATTTTAAACCCATGTGTTGAGCTCATACAGCTAAAGACGGCAAACCTAACAATTGACAATGCCAGCTTTCGTGCCGGCGACAAAGGGTATGTGTACATACATGCGTCAACTGCAGACAAGTTTATCGTAAACAAACAGGAATAATTAACGCGGAACAAAAGGATCCTACGAGCGGCAGGAAAGCTGATAAAGACTTTCCAGAGGCTTGTAAATAGGATATTCAAAAAGCAGTCAGTAGAATTACCTTCAATTTTCTGAGCTCAGCCTGTGTTTTACCCGACATTTCAGAAAACCAAGGTAGGTGTAGCGGCAGACCCACGTAATGCGCGGTCGTAGATCTGTTCTACTTGACTGGGGTTTCTAATGATATAAACAATTTAATTATGATAAAATTTTTTGCACTAACTTTAGAGCATTAAAACTACCTTCAAATAATATTGTGAACAAAAGAAATACGTTACGTTTAAGCGGCTTTCTAATCGGCTAATTTTAACGATTCACAAAAAGGAGCTTTATATTCAAACCAAGATAGGATATTTTAATGTTACATAGCATTCTAAAAGTTTTTGCTTTTGCTTTGTATGACTTTATGCAACCCCAGTTGCAAATGGGACTCCTACTTACATTCTCTACAATCCCAACAACAGTTATGACTTCACTTGCATAGAATTTTATTGAATAAACACCGCCTCTCGCCTAATATCAAGAAACAATACTTCCTACCTATTTAAGCTAATCGTACCTAAATGGGGTTATGAACCTCCTAATCTCCTGACCCCCAAATTTTACAAGCGAATTCAAAACTCCGTTTCTTTTTAAATATGCTCTTATTTACATGGCATTCACTTCCACAAATGCCAAATTCTGGACACCACATCCAAAGAACACTTAAATGAATTGTGACCTTCGCGCCTTTCGTGAATTCGAAGGAACTTACATTATTAGGGCAGAAAATGCATTCCTGACGTAGAGAAGGAATGAGCGACCACTAGTGCCACTGAGTACAAGAGCAGTAGCGAGGCCTTAGCTACATGTGTAGTCAAAGTGCAGAGTTAAAAAAAGTATCAAAGTACTACAACATTGGAACTTTCTGTTCCCCCGCAGCCTTCACCCCTCTAAATTGGGAAGAATGCCTTGTTAATAGCATTCAGAAGGACTGAGGACTCACGAGTATGACTGATCGACTACGTAAACTATGTGGTGGTAAAGTACTACTGCTCCGTAGAGCTATTCTCATAGCCATACCCGTAATTCTGCTACTCCTAGATGTCCATATGGATTGGGTCGGCCCACTAGCTCCGCATTTTACTCGACTCACCTGAAGATTTTATTCACTATGAAATATAGCTTTCATAGGAATCAAACTGAAATAAAATGAAGAAGGAAATAAATCTTTCTAGTCAAAACTAATTCAGCATACAGAGTGGCAAAATCACGAAAAAAAATCCATCACAGGTCGCTTATGGATAATTTCAGTAGCATCGTGTAAATAGGCTCACAGAAAATCAGTGTTTAGAATCAGGAGGAAACACAGGATCTAGCTGCCGTTCGATGAGGAGACCATGGATGCAAATCAAACATCGGCGCAGGGCTTCCACAAATCGTTCAACATCCAACTGAAGTTGCCCCATGGCCTCCATTCCGAGCCATGGTTTCACATTCCGTGGAAGGTCCAATAGCACAGCTTGAAGGCGTCCTGCGCTGGGCATGGCTTTTAAAATAACCTGAAATAAAACAGTTGCTCGTAACCACTTGTGTCGACCAACATTTTGTGGATAGGCGTGAGGGATTAGAAAAAAAGACCTCACCGTAGCAGTTCCACGCACAGACCAATCATGGAATTCTTGCAAGGATTTTGTGTAGGCCTTCGTTGCGATGTCCACAATTTGAGCATTGGATGAGGGATTGGATTGAAACACGGATGTGGTGTCTTTGAAAAGAAGATCGAGGAAAGTGATTGCAAAATTTAGTGATCTGAAATGGAGAGGGGAACAACGAATAATTAATTGTTCGAGGTGGGCAGGCGATTCGACCGACGAAATGGATGATTTGTGAGAATCCAAGACATAGCGTAGCTGAGCACTTATCCTCCAACTACTTCAAGTCAAAACCCAACCATCTACCCAACCACTTCTCACTCACTTATCCACCAATCCCTTCATAAATCCGCCTATCAAAACCATCAACATTAAATCTTCCATCCACCACTCCGGTCCATCATTCATCTATTCTACTATCACACGATCCATTTACTCCCTTTTCTACCTAGTCTCCAACTCAACAATCCTTCAAAAATGGTAAGAACTGCAGAATCCTTCTAACTAACCTCGCAAGCCACAACAACGCCAGATACGCCGATCCTGAAGCTCGACATTGGTTTGTCCGCACCTCCACATCCACAATATCCGCCAACGACAGCGCCAACGATCGCTGTTTCGCCAACTCTTTCGTTATTTGTCCTGCTTCTGCACCCTCTCCCCCACTGGCCAGTGTCTTAACTGCCAGTTCCAGACGCACAATGTCTGCCAACACCTCGGCGTACACCGTCTGCAGGCTTCCCAATTGACTGAGAATCGCTGAAGTGTCCGACTGTGAGGGGGAAGTGGAATTGGTGGCTGCAAGAGCAGGAAAGAAGGAAAGGACACTGCGACAGCAGGCAAGAAACTCCACGGCGGAGATTGAAGTGGTGGCGACAACTGAATAGGATAGGGCCAGATCCTCAAAACTAAAGGTACAGAATTGCATCCAGATTAATAAGTTAATGTGATTTTGTTAACACCTTAAGAAGATTTATTCAACAGATCATCCACCCGTCCACCGAACCAACCAGTGATCGGCTCCAATATCCACCTATTTTCTCGGCCAACCATCCATCGTTAGATCGACCCGTCCATCTGTTGATCTATGCAACCAATCGCCCTTTGAAACATTCATCACTATGACCTCCCATCCATCAATCCAACGAACTAACAGCAAATCAGGCTGTCAATCTACTATATAACCCATGCTCCGACCCTTTAAACTCTCAACTATCATAAAAAAGAGCCAACTTCACGGATATTCCCATAAGTTCATCTGATTGCCCATTCAATACCCCATTAAGCCACTCCTCCATCTATTCAATCGCCTAATCAAGCGACTCATCGCCAACATCAACCTACCTGAACTCCAGTTTTGAAAAGAAGGTGGGATAGGGGCGCGACAATCTTAGGGCACGCAAATGATTGTTCAGGAGACCGGTATTGGTGGTACTCCTCGATGCAACTGTTGTAGCAATTTTTTCAATTATTTTTGTCGACCTTGGACTAATGTCGCTGGAGGTAAAGAAGCAGAGCAAATTAACCACAGACAGTTCCTAAGTTAAACGTCTACCCTTTCCTTCATACTATCTTACTTTGACGATGCAGTGGGCCCAGAATCACTTAATACATCAATTTGAAGACTCTGTGGCAATGCAGATGGTCGTCTATTGCCCATTGGACTTCCATCGATGCTATTATTGGTTTGAGCAGCCTTGAGCCGACTCGAACTTACCAGAAGGTTAATCAACTCATCGGCATTGGATAGCAGCGTATCGCAGGTGGCCTTCAGTGAGGTCACAGCTCCAACCATTTCCTGTTAATAAATAGAGCTGCTCATACATAGTTCAAGGTATGCAGAAGGGAGTTAGAAGATGCTAACCTGATTTCCACCGGCACATGACTTCAGAGCACTGCAAACACCGCTGATTTGCTGCGCCAGAAGGTCACGATTTATGCGAAGTTCTGAGCGCTTAGCCTCTATTGAACGTTCTGCTTGTTCTAGAGAAAAAAACTACTTATACCACCAGGTGAAAGAAAGAGAGCACTTTACATAAAAGCCATACGTTGTGGCCTCATTGAGAATACAAAACCCGCGTAAATACCGTCAATACGCGAAAACGGAACCCGCCTGTGACTTCAACACGGTCGACTGGTAGACCAGCAGTAAGCCTCATGCCCTTCCCCCACCCCACCCTCCTCTGCTCAAGCATACCCGTCAGGGAACAAGGGCGACCACATTGGAGCCTTTGTCACCCAACTACTTGGATTGAAAGCTTGACAGAGTGCAGGCTCAAGCACGCACAGGAGCCAGGTTCGCCTGCTTACACAGAGTAATGCGATGGTAATTTTATGCAAAGTGTATGCGTACCCATACAACACACACACACACATCTGAGTCTGTGACAAGGTCATGGCAATGCTACTTACACGCCGCTTGATGACAAAGGGTAACGTGGATAGCAACTGTGCAATCCACCAACTTTCCAAGCTTCAATTGTTGCGACTAGACTACTTGAAAAGGATTGGCACGCTGCAGAAACTGTAAGCACCACAGCTTGCAATAGCTTAGACATTAAACACTCTTATCCGGGGATTGTTGGCAGACGGAAAAAAAAAGGAGATCCACATTGGCCATTGCAGGGCAATGGCAAAAGGGGAGCTGGTTAGCACGACAGTGTCAAGGCGAACCAGCCACTGTTTGAATTAGACGGCAAGAGGTCGAGCGGTTTCAGGGTGAACTCAAAGATTTCATGTTCATACGAGCTTTTTAGGTGGTTCACCTACAGTCAAAACTGCCCAACAAAATCAAATATGCACCTAATTTTGACACAAAATCACTTGTTTTCTTAGTTCTTTTACTTACTACACCGTGAGTTGAGTCATCTCAGAGAGGAAAACACGAAAAATGTTTACACAAATGAAATCTGCCGGGCATTTAGAACTTTGAGTGATGGTAAAGAAAGCAACAAAGTCAATCGGTATGAAGTGGGCTTCAAAGACTGAGTACTTTACACGAAGAACAAAGAGACTGTGAAAACAACACTCTTACGGGTATTTTGAATCTGACTTGTATCTGTGTAACAGCAAAATAATTGGGGGTCAATAGAAAAACTCGGAGATCCGCTTAAAGAGAGGAAGAAGATCAAGTAAGATTTCGCAACTAAAAAACAAGAGAATTTCCACCGACTAATCGACATCAAAGCAGTACTACGAAATGTGGACACAAGTGAGACTTCACGTTGATCACCTGTAACAAAGACAGTTAAGGAAGCAAACAACTTACGCATCTTCTCCACCTCATCCACATTCATTATACCCGCCTTGCAACTGCCCAAAGCGACAATCCACCGCTGCCTTTCGGTCGAGTTCGCCGCCTTGAGAAAGAAACGCTGCTCTCCGGGAATGAGAATTTCAAAGCGACAAGCATCGGTCGGATGGACTGCGTAAGTAGAAAAACAAACTGCACTGGTTTTTTTATTGGTTAGGATAGCACACTTCATCCTGGTTGGCTGGAAGGCAGAAAAATGTGCGCATTTCAAACAAAGTGGATCTTCTCAATTCGGCTAAAATGACTGTTACGGCCTGCACCGTCTCCAATGATGGCGCGGGTAAGTTCATTCTAAAAGACGACACTAATTTGCACGGAATGGACACCACCGAAAGTGTTGCAGAAGTAAGGTGTCGAACATTGATGACTGAATAACCCGACACTGAAAACAGCAGAGACAATGGAAGAGCGTCAACCAACTTATGGGAACAGGATCTTAATATCAAGTCTTGTAAAAAAGTCCACATTTGAATGAATGAAACGTTTACATAAGCGCAGAGGAAGCAACATCCCCTTCTTCGACGTTACTCTCGAGGAAACGTTCCTAACGAGTAATGACTAATATGCAAAATACACCCCTAGCAGAGCATTATAAAGCCTTTTGAATAACTTCTTCTATAAACTCCTTTACAAAGAGTTCAGGCAAAGCAATCCCGCAGATTAGACAAATGCACTGAGCCGTTCCCACTCCTGTCTCGTGCTTGATGCCAGGTGAAGCAGAATAGCTGAGTCATCCATGATTGCATATGAGCTTGAGGGATCTTTGAAGCCAAATCTCACACAATTTATGAAATTGACCTCTTAGGCTTTATTGGCGTTTACAAAAAATAGTGCCTTTCATACTGTAAGGGTAGTTTTGTGTTTATGGATAACTTGGACACCACAAGTTTTCTTGCTTCAGTCTTGGCATTCTGCTAAAAGACGGAATACCGGGACATAGTCATTACGGCTCGCATAGGATATTTTGTAAGGCTGGAAAACCGCCTAAAATACATGCACCCGGCATGAAACATCGATGAATCTTAACTACTGCTGCTAAAGGGAATTGTGCAGCATGGGACTTCTATTGAAGGTCTACAAGATGACCAGAAAAGTTGAATTTAAATAGTTTCCAGTTGTGGTCCAAGTGCATTAAATTATTGCTTCTTTTCTGCCACATGTAGCTTGTTGCAGTTGCGATTAACAGTGCGGAACCGCAACAAGCATCTGTTCACATACACGTGATTAACTGCTCAGATAGTAACCCAAATACTAAACACAGCCTCAGGATACCGCGCGGAATAAGAGGAGTAAACTTGGAACAGAAAAATCGGGAAGCGCTTAGAGGTAAGTCTTTTGAATAAACCGGCCACTTCGAAGAATGAAAAAAGCCTGCCCTTGGCACCTGTGCCAAGTTAATACAAGGCGATGGACCTTCTAAAGACTATTATGTGAAACGTGGTGGAGTAAGTTCCCTTAAGCAGCAAAATCAGTTTAACTTATTTTGAGTTCATAGCAGTTGGACGATTTTTAATGAAAATTCCAGGTTGTTGTAAAATAATTAAAGGAAAAAGAGATGATGGTAGATTTTAAAAAATTAATTAAGTTTAATCCTCCGGATTAGACACTATTCCCGAAAAACGGCAAGTCTATTTTAGCAGATGGGAGAAAACCATAGGACTTGCGAATGAGATTTGGAATAACAATCCCTGATACCTAGCAACGGGAAAGTGTGCAGTTGGAGGCAGAGAAAAAGTAAGAAAAGAGCGTACCAACAACTTCACAAGCTGACACTTTGAGGGCACCTTTGCAGCCAGTATCGATGTCTGACTCTGACGTATAGTAGGAAAGGATTCCATCACGAAGAGTGAAATACCTTTGCTGCCATCCGTTTATGTAATTCGTCCATTTGAATAACAGACCATCCATTTGCGACTTGGTAGCAAAGAGGCAGAAAGTAGGCAAAGATTACCCAACAATTATATTAAATCATGGTATAAACTTGTAAATTATAACAATAAAAAAATTGCGTTTGAACTACCAATCTGGGTTATTCAAGCAGTGGTAGTGAATTAAATACGAGCACGCCTGTACAGTCAGCATTAACTCATGACTTCATTCAAGTCATAAGTATAAGTCGGGGGATAGAAATATTATAGATACAAGTTCAAAAACGCACATTAACACAAGCCATGTGAATATAAGTTAACCTACATGGCAGAAAGTTGGTAGAAAAGTGATTGGCTGCTTTGAAATTGTTACTGCTACAATAATCAGAGTAAGTGGCTGAGCTAAACATTTGTAAGCAGAAGTGCCAGCTAGTCAACGCTAGACTGATTTGTTTGCAACCTTTAAAAATCTTTTTAACTAAGGCTTGACATAAGGAGTTTTACGGTAAGAAACAAATGTATACAGAATATGCTGAGGTGGGGATATGGGTGAAGGCATTTATCTGCGGTTTTAGAACTACAAGTGAATGGCATTGTAAAATTAGCCTGAAAAATTTTTACTTTTTTCCTTGTAATAGGATAAAGCATCATAGCAAGGCGCACTAATCCCCTACGCAGAGAAGCGCTGAAAATTTCCTAACATGGCCCAAAAGCCATGTAGTCGAATAAAAGTACACCATGCAAACACCAAATTATTTAAATAATTCATTATATAGCTGGAGAAAAAAATTAGGTTATCACAGTCTATAGCCCACATATACACAATTTTTAAGGTGAAATTCTTTATTGCACTCCTCGTAGACCATACTCCTATGGATGAGGGTCTTATCGTAAAAGTGCAGGGGAAACTAAATAGCTAATGGGATGGTTGAGGTGCAGCTTTCATTAAGATATAATTTGCTTCAAGAAGTGAATTTTTTGACTACGCATGCGACTAAACATGAACGCAATTACAACATACTTCTCTACGACCCCCTACCCCAAATAAAAAACCAAAATCGGTGAATATTGTATTTACTTTATAAGAATTGATTACCAAAATGTACACGTAAGACTCCGACTTCTTTAAGATATGTTATTCGGCAAATCCGCTTTGTAAATTTCTTTGTTAAAGTGCAGAACTACTCACTCAAGATGATAAAGTCTTCTTACCAATGGAGCACTTAATTTACATGCCTACTTTGGCGTCGACACACTATAGGTGCTACTGAGTGCATCGCTGTCAGCGTCTGTCATAGTTTCCACGTAGGTTTCGTCACAATCAGAGTGCAGCTCATCTGACGACCTGCCTTGGGGTGGAACACCCTCTTTCATCTTCCTTGGCATAGGTAGTGCGGCATATTGAACGTAGGCTGCCGACTTCTCCGTCTCTGACTCGGAATCTGCAGTCGAGAAACAAATGTCCGACTTGACATTAAGATAGCTATTCAAAATTTCAAAGGTGTATGGAATAGTTGGGCATTGTTGAGCTTCGTTTAGTGCTCAACACTGACTTTAACACATACTACATTCACATCCCCTCTCCCCTTGAGCATTGGGCGTATTAGGCTGCGTTGTATCGGGAGCACGATCGCCGCAGCATCTTCGAACCGTCGATTCCAGGTCTCGTAAATACTTTGCGTAGCCTTCATAAAACCTGCGCGATGTCTGAATTGGCGCCTGATTGCGTGGAGAGCATATGACGCCTTGGTCGTGACAGTATTGTCTCGGCTAATGAAGCACAGCAAGAGGGCAAAGATGATGCGTGGAATTAACAAAATTTATCTAATCTGCCTCAAAATTGCATCATCCAATCATTTTATGATCCACTAACTGATAAGACTTTCTGAACAGTCAGCCTTACTTCGATAGATGATGAGTAGGGAGAGCTGAAGGTGCTTGAACGACCAAGAGTTATGGTGGACTTGTATTTCGTATCCTGGAGGAAGGAAAACAGATTCTCAAACATTTTGAATGAGGTTACACAAAGACCGCTTTGAAAAGGTACCTCTGGCATATTTGAAGTGGTGTTTGAGGGAATTGCACCCACGTTGGTCTAAAAAAACGAATGAATAGTCTTGAAGAATAAATTGTGAGGCTGCTCTCAACGACGGAAAATATTAATGGTGGTTTAGTTACCTTGTAAGTTTCGACATGGACGTCAGATTTCAGCGTATCCATTGACGACTAAAGCGAATAAAAATGGTGGATTTAAAAAGATGGAAATGCTTGAGTTATGTGTATTCGCCATCGTCTGCTCACTACAATACAGTAATTTAAAAAATTCAACCCTTTTAAACTATTCACTCATCTTTCAACAAGTTCATGATATATCTAAAATTCCTCCTGTTTTATCCACCTCGTGTTCATCCATCCATAGACCTGGCAAAAATTCATCCGAATCCATATATCCACCCATCCATCTTGTACCCATCCACCCATCCTGTATCCATCCATCCATCCATCCATCCTGGATCCATGCATCCATTCATCCTGGATCCACTTTGGATCTACCCTGCATCCATACATCGGTTTATTAATTCAGACTCAAACGACTCCCTTCATTCATTTATTGCTTTCTTTTTATTTCCTTATTTTCCGATTATGTGAGGCATCTACGCGTATTCATGAACAAAAATATCGTGCTTTAAGACAGTAGTATGCATTTAAACGACTGACGCAAGCGATGTCCTGCATGTCTTCTCACCTCCCTACTGGATCATGGTGACGAAATGCCCCCACATCTAGTCAACTCACCCACTGCGTTTTGAGGAGACGAAACTCATCCAAAAGTGACAGCTTTGATGGATTCACTGGTCCTACCACAGGAATCAGTCGTATCGATGTTCTTTCTGGATAGGCTAGCGCCTCTACGATTTCGCACTCCTTCTTTGATGGTTTCAAATGGCGTAGGCTCTCGTCCATATCCCACTTAATTTGCAATAACAGCCGATTACTTAAGCGAATTGGGGCGGAGTATAGCATCCCAGTCAACAGCTTACCTTCTCTGTAATTAACTTCTCCGGAATGGAATCACACTCGCTTGTAAGTGGCTCGTTATTCTGAGATGTCTGTAAATAAAAAATCAAAAATTTTCCGAATTGAAGTCTATTTAGGGTAATCGAATTGTCCCTGTTGTCATTTGTGCGCGTTTTATGAGTCTCCTTTGTGACTGCTAATACACTCCCAGTTTGTTTAGGCACACCAGATTGAACTAATCTCACGGCCATGAAAACTCTCGATTTATCACCCTTCCAAAAGAGTAAGGGAACCCTGAGTTTTCATAAAACTATGATTGTTCATATGCCTCTCGCGCTCCATCAGTTTGCAGTGCCTTCTGCTAGCAAAACTTTTCCATCGAGAGTTTTGAAACCCGCAAAATTTTGCTGGAAGGCCTTACCAGTGTTAATTCTCCCATTGAACCGATTTCTGTTGATTCATCCTTGACTGTGCATCCCTCTTTGGACTGGAAAAAGTGGAAACGAATAATAGTAGCTAAGGTGAGTTTTTATAAAAAAAGGATAAAGTGGGAAATAGTGGCAAGGCTTTACGTCCTGGTTGATTAGTTCCTCCAGCGTTGGAGACAGTGACGCATCTGTGGTATCCTTTTCCAGAAAATCAAACAATTGTTCTCGTAATTTCTGCAAAAAAGAGGAGAACTTTTATAAACTTCAAAATCAAATAATGATGTAAAAGTAAGTTTTCACTATGCAAAATGGAGTGAGTTGGAATTAGCTTCAACAGATTAAACTGATTCATCAATATGTACTCATTTAAAAAAGCAAAAAAAAAATTAACTTCAAATTTACAAATGTCCAAGTATCAGGAAAAATCAAAATCAAATCAAAAAATTTGTGTGTCAAAACTTGCAAAGTTGCTCAGCTGAACTGCAGTAGGTGACAAGGTGCTGGTTTGATCACAGCTACCAGCCGGCCTCGATCCTTCATCTTGCTGCAAAACCTTCAACCAATTTATAAAAGGGAAGCAAAAAATGTGATTTGTACTTTTCAAGAAGAATGGTTCTTATTTTAGAATATGATAATTCTATTTCGTCCGTTAGGCTCTCAACCATCCGTCTGGAATGAACCCTTATTCCTACGGAAACAGTTTTGTCAGTATCACCTTTGCGATTCTGTGGCGTGGATTGAGAAATGGATTAGCTACATCTACCGAGAATAGAAAGCACTCTCGGAACAGGACAGGTAGAGCCATTAAACTACGTGGTGAATCGTGGGCGCATTTAGTCTACCACCTCTGTGTTACATAGCATCTACACCGGTATAGCGATGACCCCTCCACCAGTCCGTTGCATCTTCAACTTTTCTCGTCTTTAGACATTTCTATAATTTTTGATGAGGTTACTCATAAATCCTGAAGTTGTACTAATTACTCAAAGTTTATTTAAGTGTCTAATTTGGAAAAAGAGCCAGATTGAGCAGAAATGCCTACTTTCTGAGGATTGTCGGTTTTCGCTCCATAATTGTTAGGTGCAACAGGCCTTGACGGAAGATACAAATAAGATTTGGTAGGCTAAAATTAAAAAACTTAACAATTATCTAGAACTGCAAAACCCAATTTTGTTTGCAAAAGGGGACTTCCCTAAAGGATAATCTATAGGGGATTTTGTGAAAAAAGTCATGGTGAATCTCACCGATGGGGGTTCACTATTTAGGCAATTTGTAATTGGTGGTTTTTCAACCTCCAAGAATTGTGCAACATAAAAACAAAAATTACTTTTAGAGGATATACAGGGATAGGACGGTGCAAACTTGGCTAAATTTCTTCTATTAATAAACAATAATCCACCGATACTACCTTAGCACTGATAGTAGATGCGCTGACAGATGATTTATTTTGCTGATCACTACGTTTGTTGCTTGGTTCCTATTAAAAAACAACAACAATAGGCATTTTCGACCTTTTTATAGCAAATGACAGAAGTAATATGTTTATTGATGAAATCCATCTTCCCGTCCTGCAATTGTGTTTTTAATTAAATCTGGAAAAATATTAGTAATACACGAATACGGCTCCTCTTACAGACAAAAATTCTTGGCTTTTCTTAACGATCGATCTTGACGTGTTATTTCGCTATACAAAAATTTGTCCTCTAGTTTTAAAATTCACTGGATACTTTCAGAAGCCAGGCTTTATCATTACCACTTTGAAGATAAAAAAACAACAATGAGGGTGTTGCTTGACTGATTAGGAAGTGCGCACAATTGGAAGAAAAACTACTATATTCACACCAAATGTAGCGCAGCTTTCAAGGCCATTCTTAATAAGCCTGAATTGATAATTTAAGACAAAACAAATACTTTACATGTTTCCAGTTATTTTGTGCACATATTACAAAAACATATTGTTTACAAAATTTTGTGGAAGAAGTTTAGCCTGATTAGGAAGCATATATGGATACCACACTAGGATTACGTAAAATTGCTCTAGCTAATAAGTCCGACAACTTATCGCCTTCAACCATGCTTTTAATGTTATGAGCAAATAAACTTGGTAAACTTATGAGTCTAAATAACTGACTCTCTGATCCGCATTCCCAAATATTATCAAGTTGTTAAGCTAGTCTACTTACAAGCCTGCATTTCACATACCTGCCTGTTAGCAACGACATTATCACCAGCGCTACCCAGACACACACCTCTACGCCATTCTTTTCTGGTTGGTGATGCTTCCATCTGCTGTCGAACCAGTGGACTTTTCAGTGTCTAAATTACAAATTATCACATGGTCCTCTCAAAATCATGAAAGATTTAAAATGACAAAAGGCAATTCAAAAAAATTGTCCGGAATGCAGCACTCCTTACTGCAACAATTTCTTGCATTTCATTAGAGTCAGCCTTTATATTAAGGCTTCATATCATAGCGCGTCGGATGACCAAACCCCACGCTCACAATTCGAGCTTGTCTGCTTCACAAACCGATTTTCACTTAACTTCATAGCTGCAAAGACTTCGCGTCGAAATTGGTGTCTGTTATTTAGAGGTAATACATTCTGTAGCAGAACGCGTCGGAGGCCGAGATGGATATGATTAGAGCTTGTCTGCTTTTTACTGAGCCGTGTTAATCTCGGTTCTGCAGCTGTTGTTGCGGTGGCCTCTCGTCCCATTTACTGCAGAGCGCTTAAAGAAGGATTTTAATATGTAAAAGTCTGGTTTTATGAATAATTTGTACCATTGCTTCTGTTTACACTAATGAACAGTAAAGAGACCTCCTTAATGGTTTGGCCTAACTTCCTAAAAGAATCAAACTCCTTTAACGTTTAAGAAGTTTCTGCTTCGAATCAGACTTTCTCAGACATTCCAGAGTACTTCTCCATTTAAACATTTGCTCAGCCCGTCGTCACGACCACTGTGACATGGCTTATAATCCACGTAAAGGTCAAATCGAGCCAATCTTGATCATCCGACCGTCAATTACGTGGAAACACGACTTACACGCCCCCCTTCCGGTCCTGCTTTCTCAACGCCGGAAAACAAAGCTGCCCATATCAAGGCCTTTGTTGGCTGAGTACTTAGGCTCGGACTTCGACAGGATCCAAGCTCACGCACGTACATTAACGAACGTCAACTGGCCATGGTGACCATGGCAGTGAAGTCGTAAAGCACCATTGTCATCGAGAAACAAGGTTCCACCTGGAAGTGATGCGACGAGAAACCTCCGCACCTTCGAATGCTATTTGGAATTATCTCGTGGAGCAGGGGCCACCCACGTCACTAATTGACTAACAAGAAATATTGTCGCAAGGGCTTGGTGCTTATCTACTACCTACTTTGTAAACAGCGGTAACATGTTCCACAAACTTCCTACAAATTACAAGCTACGGAGACATGAGTCCTCAGTAAAATTACATAAAATGATGGTAGCATCTGCAATCTCTACCTCTACATAAATGTACGCTGAAGGCGTGCGGCCTCGTAAAACTTCTAAACCCCTATGATTTTCTTTATGTCCCTTCGTCCCAAAAAAGTTGACACAGTTAAGGCTTACGGATTCTGTCGTTTCACCTTGTATGCGTTCTCGGCTATCGGATATGGGGATACGAAGTGACGGACGTCTCAAAACAACGCCAGAGGCCGCATCATTATTCGTTTGTAAGGTGGATCGTGAGAGATGCACCGAGGTTCGTTGTGATCGTTGCATGTAGCGCAGCGCCGGTGACATTTGAATTCCTATGGGATGCGAGATCGACCAACGCTGATGGCTCGGACTGGTGTACATTCGGTTCACCGGCTTGGGCTGATAGATCTGTAAAATAGTCGAAGGAGGAGAATGGTTTAATAAATTGCATAGTATGGGTTCTCACTCAGCAAATGGCGCGAGATTTTATCACTTTCGGACTGGTTTATGGATTGAGTGACCCCTCGGTTAGCTCTCGTCCCACAATCATGAGGCTATTTTGCCTATGTCCGAACCACAGACCGTTGTATAAAACACTGCAAAGTGGCCAATAGACAAATACACTTAAAATTGTGGATTTTTTAGAGAGGTTGGATAAAGCGCTCCTGTTTGATTTGCTGCGGTCCTGCTGAGGAGTACCAGGCAGTCGGATGGAGGTAGGAAGGAGGTGGCAGAAGGTGCTAATTCACAAATCATATCCGCTAGGTAATAAAGCTGGATAAGTTTTATCTTCATTGACAGTTCAACGAGTGTGATCAGTGGGAAGCGAAATCGATAAATTTGAAGTTGACCTACTAATACTTGACCCAAATCCACAGACACTACTTATTTCAACTGAGTAGGGCTTCCCACGACAGGCGCCTCAGCGTAAGAAATCAGAGTGCTATCGAAAACTTTATACAGGCACTTTATCTGCGAAAATCATAGCCACGGTCAGCCTTTCCCTTCGAGGCTTAAGCTAGCTGCAGATTCCTTTGGGGGAACCAAATGGCATGGTCCTAGTTACCACTGTTTCAGTAAGGCTTTTACGTCCCACCCATCTCTTTCTCATGTGACTGTCTAATGTCAAGAAGAGGTAATTAAAAATCTAGCCAAAAAGTAGAAGGTCACGAAATATGAGCAAAAAATTAGGTGGTATCCTCCTCTTTTTAGTTCAGGAGCGCCGCTTGCTCTGGTATGAATCCCCGCCTGGCACTGTAGGAGTAAATCTTTCAAACAGCCGTTTTTTGTAAGAGGTAAGGTTTTCTCCATTCAGGATTTATTATTTAGATTAGGGCAGATTAACATTTTCATCTGCAATTTCCAGTCGGCACAAATAAGACAAGGATAAGGGGTAAGGTCGGACTCCGCGACTTCCTCTGGCCAGGTGGCTTGAGCGGAAACGACTCTGTGGTTAAGTATCAATCTCTGAAGGATTTGTTACCAGAAACGAAGGACTTTACAACCGTGCCTGGGCAATATGTCCCCCAATTTCATCTGCTTTAAGATCTAAAAAGTAGCCTAAGGGGGTATATATGAAAGTAGAGAGTATCAGACCACAATTAGGGATAGGATCGTGCTAAGCTGATGCACATCTGCGACTGCGATGCTCCTACTATCAAATTAAGGATTAAGCTGGCAGAGAAAGTTGCTCCTTTAATTGTAGCTTTAATAACCTACCAGTTGAGAGGCTCCATTCAATGGATGCTTGAGCGAAAACGCTGGGTAACTCGGTTCACTTTTCAATACAGCCGCCTCAGTTGCCTGCGTAACAACAGGCGCCTCCACAGACATTGCTGGGGCTTCCTCAACCGGTGCATTTGATAACGACTCCGAGCACAGACTCGCTGATTCCACAGCAGCTATCTGAGCGGCTTTGGCTTCAAAAACGGCGACCAAATCGGAGACAGAACAAGTGGCGCAACCGTCTTCCTCCTTGAGGTAAAATCAAATAAACTGACTGTCCAAAGGAACTTACGTCAGTTTCTTGAGTTGGTTTCTCAGCAGCGTTGCTATTCACAGCCATGCTACAAAATGACAGCATAAAATTTCGGCATTATTTCACAAACATGTTAATGAGAAATGCAGCGTTTTATAATTTTTTGGCTATCATTTTAGTTTGGCATTTGTGTATGTGAGATTCCGAAATAGGTTAGGAAATTAAACACCTTTCTAGGAAACTCTTACCTCGCCCTCTTACAGTTAAAAGCAGGTGTGATAAATACTATCTCATCATCCGAATGTCTTCCTTTATCGGCACAGTCATCAGCATTATTTTCTTGCACTTTCTGAAACAATAAATCCAAATGATGGTCAAACTTTATATTCTACTTAAATGGGGCAGGCCGATTTAAGTAGCACTTTCTGTCCAAATATACACATGTACCCACCAACAGGAAAACTTGTTATAGTCAAATTTTTACTATTGTTCAATTAACATCGAGCTTTTTTAAATATACAACTTAACTTCTTAGAAATTTTTACCTTTTTAATGTGCAGATGCTACTAGTTACGGATAGTTGCATTCTCTTACCAAAACAGCAGGTTTCTTTTCCACCATTCGATTTAAACGACCCTGAACAGCCTCTGGAATCACCTTCCAATTATTCCACATCCGTTTTGTCTTTGGTTTAGGTGGAATTGGTGGTGGTTTTAGAGGTCCCTCCTCCCTTCTACTTAAAACACCGTAAGTAGTACTCTGACTGGGGTAGTTCTTAAATGTTTTGTCATGCATATTAGTAAGATGCATGGCAACCACTGCACTATTTACGTATTCCCCACAGTCATAGTCGCGTTTTTTAGAGAGGGATGCAAGTCTTGGCCTTTTCAAAGCTCCGACAACATTTTGCCCAGCAAATTTCGATGCCTGAATGTTGTTTGAAGCCCTCTCTTTCACAGTCGCAACCTCCTCTTCCTCCTCCTCTTCGTCATCATTATCGCCCTCCTGTAGTCGAATACTGAGTGGTTCAATCAGTGGAGCTGATAATTTCCTACGCGTGTGGCTTTTGCCCAAACCAAAGGGACCACCGAAGTCCTGTTGATAAAGGTTGGTTGAGAAAAGGCTATTTCGCCGACGACTACCAGTGGATAGCACTACTGCGGTGTCTGGCTGAAAGAGACGGAAACAGCGACCAATTTCTCGGGATTTCGCGTCCAGATACTCCTGCTGCATCCAGCCTTTAAAAGAAAAGCGGAAGTGTTTCTACTTATCTATTGTAAAAAGGGCTATTTTCCTTTTAAATACTCCACTAAAGGATCTTTCTACATTTTTACGCTTATATTAACACTACTGGGGCTCCTTTCAACATCAAATGGTTACACACTACTTAAATGCAAACAATATAGTTCACTCACAAATGTCACGATAGGGGTGGGGACTTTGAAACTGACCAACCATGCTCATACTCCGGCTTTCATACTTATACACTTGAATGCCATTGTCACCCTGGAAGAAAAAGTGATTACATACTATCAAATCAACACTTACTCTACCGGAGAGAAACAAAAACCGGTTGCCTTGGTAATAATTCATAATGACGCTTCCTGATGATTGGTTGCAACGAGCACGATCCAGAGCGCTCGATGGATTTTTCTGTTATTGAATAGGAAAAGGAACAGTGAGGGCTGCCAAAGGAAATTTCAAACATCGCTAAATGCTGAAGTAATAGCTTAGGTTTTCTCTTTACCTGAAGGAATGCATTTAAGGATTGTTTAACGGATTCCCGGAATTTAAATGCGCAATTTGGCAAGAATTTGAGCAAAGAATGCCCCATTTCAAATCTAGGCTAATGGTTATGATTGTTATAAAAAAACACATAATTTGAACTCAAGTTGACTCAAGAAAGTAGTTCTTGCATTAATACCGCTTCACCGGCCATTTTTGAAATTCTAAGGGATGTCATGACTTTCAGTCATTTAAAAGGGTATAATTTTTTAAGTATTAATTATCCTAACCAGAGAATGTTTGCTTAAATCTTGTGTCTTTCAACTTCGACTTGGTATTATTTTCACCCTCCAGGAGAAATATGACATTAATCAAAATATATATGGATTACCAAAAACCGAAGAACCAATTAAGTGAACTACATGTGATAGCAATTTTAACCTCACCAAGTCCCAAATCGCAAATTCTTTGCTACCCTCCAGGCCGAATCCAACAGTCACCAAGGTAGCATCATCAAGGAAGGCAGCTTTCCACGGTTTCGAACCTCGATGGCAGATCATTGAAACAACCGGCCTCTTCTCGCCACGTTCCACGTCGAATATGCAAAGTCGTTTGTCACGAGATGCAACGGCTAGACGACCACTGGACGACCAACAGAGACTGTGACCTCCAGCGCTGCCCAGATGGACGCTATGCATTTTACCGTTCTCAATGTTCCATAGAAAAACCTTTAGTGAAGGAAATGTAATTTCTACTAGCAACATTTCAGTAAACAGTATTTAATAAATAACTTCGACGGTATTACAGAGGATCGGTGATGAAAGTGTGAAGGGAAAGCTCAAATACAAAGCAGTTTGAGGAGGTCCAGATGACCAGATCCGTATATTTTAACAAGGAGGATGGACCAGAGTCCTGTCGCCCTCTGGCTATTTTGTAGGGAAGGTGTGTTTGTGGACCGTAAGCACAACTTCATTTATCCATATGAGTGGATGCTGTGAAGGCAAAGTTACCCGATTGCAGAGGGGTAGTGTCACCCCCCTGTAATTCTTAATTCTCTTTGCAAACAAACGACTGTTAAATTTGGAGCTTTGCCTTCCCCTCCCCTATCACACCTGTATTCAATAATGTGGTGCAAACCAGAAATGGTGCGAAAGGAAGAAGAGGATTTACATTGTATGGGGGACTCACACGCAGATAGATGATTCGCTTGTGGGAACAAATGCGTTATATTACATGATCATCCCCTAACTTGCTCGTGTTAGGAGAACATAAGACGCATGTCACATGAGGTATTTAGAATGACTTCCCATGTGAAATTGTTAATTTAAATGACTTACTTTTTTGCCATAGAGAGCAGTTGCCAGGAGGCTAGCATCCAGTGGACACCAAGCGACAGTTACGACGCGATCTTTATGATCCAAAGTTCTGACGTGCACCAGCGCAGAGGTATTGTCAACGCCATTACCATGACTTTGAACTCGCCATAGTTTAACCTACAAAAGGAAATAAACTCTCTCTTTCTCGTTCAGCGCGCAAGGCAATTGACTATTCAAAATGGAGGAGCTATCACAGTGGTATTTTCGGCTGATAGGTCCAAAAAACCACATCACGGTGCTGACCCCTGAGGTGATTGAAAAGTCGACTTGGAAAGGCAAGAAGTAAGCTTTTAAGCCATCACAACAATCGCCTTGTAAATTATGATTGACAGAAATTTGCTCTCAATTTTTGAAAATAGTTTTGCTTCCTTTTTCAGGATGACAGGAGGGACTCGCATCGGGTCGTGCAACCCAAAAAAACAGTCGCCATGCTCTGTTTACCAGCGTAGTCGGGCCCCTTGTGGGAGGGAATGGATGGTTAAAAGGGGTTCCCTGGACAACCATTGCGTACTTTGTTGCTCTTACGTTGACCGGTGTGATACCAAAGTGTGTTTGTGTGTTTGCAAAGCAGACAACAGCTGGGGGCATGCCGAGAGATAGACAGAAGGGAGGATTAAGTAATGCAGCATTTGCAGTCCACATTGGGCGTCGTCCATTGGACAGTGCTTCCACGCCTCTAGTCTCCCTGGAAGTCCCATTATTCCCATAAAGATATCAAATAAACTGACAGACTTACCTTGTTTTAATTAACAATAAAGACAATTAATTGTCAAAGTTATTTTGCTCTCATAATTGATCAGGTCTTACCGTTTTGTCAAGAGAAGAGGTGGCGAGAATATCGTTGCGCCAATCCAAATCAGTCACTGAATTTGAATGACACTGTGTTCGATGATATGTTTCACCTTCATACCGACCGGGCTAGAAGACGAGATAAAAGAAGAGGGGTTTTGTAACTGTGAAGGGGAGGAAATTTTTTAAAGTCTGCGGAAGGAGTGACCAATCAAGGTCTGTTAGGCGGTCAAAAATACCTCTGGAAGGGATCCGATCTGTGGGAGTAAACACTAATGTAAAATGTAGCATGAGCCCCAAATTAGAAACTAACTTTTTGACTCTAGAAGGAAACAAACACCTCGTCGTCTATGTTTCATGCATTTCCTCACTGTCCACCCTATACAGAGGGTGAAGGCGAGACCGTACCACCCTTATATCTTTCCTCCCTCGGGTTCGATGCGGGGGACTTCTCACCACCGGCCAAGTAGTTGTGCCTTTTTTAAAAAGGCTTTTCTTGCGCACCTTCAAGTTGTTTGAGTGAGCGATAAAATCCGTCCGCAGTACAAGTCACATCCACAAAGTATCATTTCACGAAGATGAAACAATGCAGAGTTGAGCCCTCCTGGCTAATGAATAGGATGTTCGTTAGCTAGGCGTCGGCATACAAGTCTGACCCCATCGTAGGCTAGACTAATGGACAGGTGGAAAGCCAGTCGACTCACGAATCGTGCATCTAGGTGATGGAGGGAAGACGCAAAGAACAGCAAATTCGTCAGTGGATGAAGCCTACAATGAGAAATGGAGCCCTTCTTCCCAGGAGTTTCCACGATCACCTATTTCCAGTTCCAGTAAGCGCAAACCAATTTTTTACCATTATCATCCAGTGGAGCTCATTACACGCATTTTCTCAACTAAGACGACCAGAACGATGCGCACTTTCACCTCACTGTTTCAAAAGGACAGTCCTCTCAAGGATTAGGGAGCTTTCTTTGATAAATACAACAACGTACTCGAAGTCAAAGGGCATTTCTGGGGAGTTTAGTATTCTTATCACACCCTGCACCTTCTGCAGGAGCTCCGCAACAAAAAAGGCAGAAGCTTTGCAACCGAGGTAAACTTACCTTAACTATTCAATCATCCGCATTCAGCTGCCCACCTACTTATCCACCCACCCACCCATCCATCTATCCATCCAACCTGTGTCCTTCCGTCCGCCCATCCATCCACTTTTGTGTCCGCCTGTTCATTCCAAATACATTCGCGCATTTGTTTGCTGCGGCAACTTATGTTAATATTGCCTTCCAGAATTCCTGCGATTTCTCATGCTTTTATGCAAAATAGATAGGGTGTGCAAGTAAACAGAGCTCACCTTTTCCGAGGTCAATTTGGGGTCACCATCGCCATTGCTTACTGCGACTCAAAGTTGCGCAGTTCACACAAATACAGTTAAGGAAATGCGTCGAATTTTTTGTGTAACCAGCCCCTAATCGACACGAAGATGGGTTCGTCTTGATTAATTTTGACATGTGTATTCTTTTACTTTGTAACCACGAAAAGCATGTAGACTTATAAAACCGCCAAAATTTGACAAGCATAAATTTGGTCGGAGTTATTTTGATGCCAATTGGTAGGAGCATTTGCTAAATCATTGGCAAGTCATCTGATCTGCACCTGTCCACCCTAAGAGTCAAGTTACCTTGACAGTGAGGCTACCAAAGTTTTGCGTGACATTTGCTTTGGAGCAACAGCAGGAGGTGTGGGGTGAGCTGAAAAGGCGCATCTCCTCAGACATGCGCTTTAATTGCGACTACGTTGTTGAATTCATCCATAAGAGGTATACCACCCTTGGGAGAACCTACTTTTTGTGGTAGCCAGGAGGCAGTCCGTATCACTACCAATCAGATTTGGGTGAAATTAGCGTGAGGAACTTCACTGGATTGGACACACACCATTTGGGAGGTGGTGATCCAAAAAACCACTCAGAGAATAGACTCGACAGAAGAGAGGTATCTGGTAAAGAAGGCACACTTCTTATTTTAGGGGATCCAGGTGTTTAAATGCCAAGCATTACTCTTCTCTTGAAGTCACACACCACCCGTCACAAATTTTACCCACGAGGATAATCACATTTTGGAGTCAACTTGAAAATAGATGGCCTCGTCTCTGGCATTCTTCTTCTCCGGTTAACACTGCTTATTATCTTGGCACCGCTACTAGACGACCGCATGATTTGATGCGAAATAACACAGAAGATGAAAACGGATTTTGACTTAGTTTTCTTCGATCTTAGCGCCAAAATGTTCCTCAAAAGTGTCGTTTGCATTTAGTCAACTTAGAGAGGCCTGTCTTATTTGCAAAAGGGAAGAAAGAAATAGCTTCATAAAGCTGTGCCCACTTTCAAAAGTTGCCAAAATTAATCGTAAAGTATTGAATGTCTGTCTTACTTTTCTCTGATTTTTCTTTTATAATTACCTTATTAATGAGAAAAACGGATAGAAGAGGGATTTACTATCCGCGATGGAACTCGTAACTCTTTTTTTGCAAAGTACCGGGAGTGCAGATGTCGAAGGCACCGCTGCACCTCCATCACCATGTGTGCTCTGTACAAGAGACGTGTATATATCCTACACCATTACCTAAGAGCGGATTGTATAATCTAAAAGTGACAATCTTTAATCGTCTAGTAAGCCACATACAAACTCTAATGCAATGATAAGCAAAGTAATAGAAGAGCGGTCTTGCCTGCGCCTAGTTGAACTCAGCCTAGACGCACAGCGTAAAAATCCCCAGGTGACTAAAAATGTATTTACAGGCGTCTTAACATATGCTCTCCAAATGTTTCTTCCTTGAGGTAAGGCGACTCAAAGATGGTAAAAGATTTTCAAACAGGCCTTTACAACTTTTAGAGAGTAAGGCATAAAAGAAAAAGGTATTAATTAACGAATTACCGTAGCGTCCTTTATATAAAAAACAACAGTTTGGTTAATAAAGAATAAATTTAATTCGTTGAATGTTTACTTTACTGTCCCAAGAAACAAAATATTTAAATGATTCAGTAAAATAATTTTCAATTCCTTAAAAGGCAATTACTTCCAGAAAGGCTTCACATCACATTACTAAAGGAGGAATCAGAAACGCAAGGTTTTTTAAAAAAGGTGTGCACTCTTCAGCAACAAAAAAGGGACTGAGAGTGCGCAATGGTATGTGGAATAAATGAAACAAATATCAATCACTCGCCGACATGCCCTCATTTACATTGGTATTTTAAGGACATATATTTGGACTACATTTGGGAATTAAAGATACTAACAATGGTAGGAGGCACAACTAATTTCCAGTTAAATGCAGATATAAATTTATTTAGGGTGCATAACATGGGATTTTACTCCTCAAATCCATGCACTATGTGTAGAGTAAGGATGGAGTTCGTCAAGAAGAAACGTAGGTAAAATATTAAAAACACGGACAGTGAATCATTATGGATCATAAAAAGTATTTGAGTAATTACGCATTGCATAGTGTCACACACTATACAAAAATCAAATAAATAGGGCAATTTACTTTAGCGAGGTCAAGGAGAGCAACAGATCCACCACTGTTAAAACCGGTAGCGACGGTAAGAAAGTACTCCGAACAGGCAGCAAGATGACCGTAGTGAATGGCATTTGAAATTGGTACACCCTCAAATCCAGCCTCTGCTCCAGCAGGAAACCACAGGGGATTCGAAGTGTGCAACAATGGGGAGGGCATTTTTGGAATAAAGATGTGCTAAAAGTTGCCAAAATGTTCCATAAAAAAATAAAAAATACGTTTGGTTTTTGCAGCAAAAACGACCGCAAAATAATATATGGGGAATCAAAGCAAAAAATTTGGCTATAATTAAACAGTAAACGTGAAAATAATTTTAATTCGGAAAAGGTGAAGGGTGATATTCTCAAAATTGTGCGCTCATTGACCTAGAAAAGTTCAATTTGAAGCCATTTAAACTAACTTCAAAATAAATTTGTATTATTTAGGACCTAAAAAGTGCAGCAGTTGAATTAGTTTTTTACGACTGTTTTTCGCAAAATTTTGCAGCAATTTGGATGGCTCAACTGTTTCATCGATAACAATGAGTGGTTTGTAGAAAATGGCCAAATTTTCAGTTAAAATAAAGATCGTCGCAATGTTTTGCGCAAGTAAGTTGGCTAAAAGCATAAAGATGTTAGGATCGTATTTTGAGCTTTCCTAAAATATACATTTTAGTTCCCTTTTTACACATCGGTACATGAATTTACTAATATTATTTAGGCGACAGAATGCAACTTTTCCCGTTTTGCACTAATTGAAGCATTTTTTAACTAGGTATACATAAGCAGCTATTTTATGCAAAGGTCTAAGCCCTTGTATATTCGCCGTTTTTTCGTTCAATGTATTTCGAAATGTTAAGCACGTAGGGTAATTTCGGAAAGGCCCTCATACGCCCCATTACATTACCGTGTATAGACATTTTGTTCTAAGCATTTTTAAAAATTAAATAGACGTAAAATTAAGGTAGAATACATACACATATGTTATACTTATATCATTTTAATGTACATTTCAGCTAGGAGGCAAGGTTACGATTCGAATCCGGTGCCAGAGGCGTCTCTCAACCCTATGGTCGGATGCTGTTCCACCCCTCTCTAAACTTTGTGCTTGTTTTTCCGATTCGCCTACCCCTAATGAATATGTCAAAATAAGTCAACCGTGTTGTCCTAGGAGCACGAGTAACAGGGAAGGGGAGACCTGCGAGTATCACCCTACACTGGTGGCAGCGGTGGGATGTTACATCTGAACAGTTTTGAGGCTTTCGGAGGACCGGGGGCGTCCGGAGTTCCTGCCGCTTCCTGGTTACTAGCTTGACCAATTGGCCCAACGAGTTAGTCTTTGCGTTGCAGAGCTTCTCAGCCAACGCGGGAGGTGGGACTCCGTTCTAAACTGGACCGTTACCCAGTTAGCGACCTTGTTTGGAGGACAGCCACGGAAAGTACGTTCAGCTAGAAGTTGAATCTTCTTGGCGTACTCTTCGTCGTCCTCGTCAGCTTTTTGGAAACACAGGAGGAAGTCCCTGGCAGGGGTTTGCTCTTCTTGGTCGATGACGGGTTGAGCCAATGTATCGCAGCATTGGTCATCGTCGGTGTCGTGGATGATGCCGGTTCTGACTGCGGACACAAATAAATGAGGAAGGGCGCGGAGAATAAGGGCTATTTTTTGACAATAGGGATAGAGAGGAAGGTTGGGTTTGGCGGTTAAGAGCCAATTTTCGAAATTCATATTTTCTTCGAAAGGGGGTAGGTCTGCCGGCGCTGCCACCAGTGCAGGGCGAGACCCACCGGTCTCCTCTTCCCTGTTCCTAGTGTTCTTAGATGAGCCCGGTTGATTCAATTTATACATATTTATTAGGGGTAGATGGATTGGGAAAACAAGTACAAAGTTTGGATGGGAACGGGCTTTACGGATTTCAAACGATGCCCTTTGGACTCTGTAACGCGGTGGCTACCTTCCAACGCCTCATGCGAACACCTCTGGTCGGCCTGTTCCCAAAGCATCGCATTATCTCTTGACGATATTCCCGTTTTTGGTGGAGTTATTCAAGAGCATAATGCCAACCTGAAACCAGTGTTGGACCGCCTACAGGATGCAGGGTTAACCCTGAACCCGAAGAAGTGCCGTTTCCTGCAACGCTCGGTCACATTCCTGGGACATACAGCCTCGTAGAATGGAATAGCAGTCACCGACGACCGTGCAAAACAAGTGAGGACATGGTCTACAACAAAAAACCAGACGGAGTTCTGCGGTTCCCGGGTCTAACAAATTATTACCGCCGTTTCGTAGAGGCTCTTGCTAAGATCGCCAGTCCGCTACATAAATTAGCCGAAAAGCAGGCGAAGTAGAATTTTAAGTGGGAGAAAGAGCACGATGAGGCGTTTAAGGAACTGAAGCGAATGCTCTGCTCCGCTCCGATCCTATCACTACGAAACTTCGAATCGAGCGCTCCACTGTTTGTACTGGATACCCATGCGAGCGACGCTGCCGTGGGTGGTGTACTTTCGTAAAAGGCCAAAAACGGAAGGGCACACGTCATTGCCTACGCGAGTACAAGATTCGGTAAGAAAATGAGACAGAAAATCGCAACACAACGTGAGTTGGTCGCTATCCGCTCAATGGTTAGACACTTCAGACATTACCTGATAGCGAGGAAGTTCGTTGTTAAAAAACAATGGAGGAGGTTGCTCGTTTGGTTGCACTCTGGTACGAAGAACTCCAACAGCATAATTTTACAGTCCAATTCCGAGAAGGGCGACCCAGTGCAAATTTACAGGCCGGTTCCCCCACCTGGAACACACCGCACAAGTTCCATCGCCCATGGAGCAGGGACCCATTTCGGATGGTGAGGGCGCTCTCACCTACAAACTACCTCGTCCGCAACGCACAACTGCGTACCCAGCCGTCAACCGTTCACCACAGCAAGACCCTACAAAGGACCACCACCGCTTGGATATGAAGGTGAGATTTATGCCCTGACCGAGGACAGGAGACTACCGGTTGGGAATTCCGCGAGGAGCTCATAAGTGGTAGCACTGGGGACGGTGCTAAAAGGACGAGGGGGCTATGTAATACTTATATGGTTTTAATGTACCTTTTAGGGACGAGACAAGGTGACAATTCGAACCGGGTGACAGAGTCGGCGTCTCCCAAGCCTGAGTGTGATCGCGGTTTCTTCCCTCCCTAAACTTTTTATTTTTTTTTCTAATAAATATGCCGAATTTAAATCAACCGGGTCATTTTAAGAGCACTAGGAACAGGGAAGAGGAGACCTGCGAGTCTCGCCCTGCACTCTAGTACTTGGGGCTACTGTCATGACCCGGGGGTCGGCCTCTCCGGTAGGGTTACAACCGCTGCGATCCAAAGTAGCCACTTTGCCAAGTTTTAATAATTTGCCTGCCTCCTCCCCCCCTTTGAGTGTTGTCCCCAACTCTTCCCTAGTTTAGCCTCCCGTGTCTGCTATGCAAATTAAGTGGTGGAGTGGGGAAACGCCGACAAACCCTCCCTGTCGGCAATCGAATTTTAATGCAGCTTAGGGCATGCTTCACCGCAGCTCCACCAGACCCTCTCGGTGAATTTGGTGGATATGGCCTGTTTGAAAGAAATGCATCAGTGGTGGGGTAGTGTGTTGACCGCCACGCATATCCACAGCCAGTGGTGGAAACAATGCCACGGAGTTAAACATGCTTTCGTGGGGGGTACGTTTCCGCCTCCATTCCTTCCTGCCACATTTTTCTCTCCAGAGTTGCTCAGCCATATCTGTCGAGAAGGGAAGGTGTGGCATTTTCAAGTAATTAAGATCTGCCCATCGACATGGCATGCAGCTCCGTAAGGGAACTTTCCTTTAGATGGTTCACAGCCAGTGTTGCTATCGTCGTAAACAGCATTCCTGCGGCACAAAGGACTGGGGCAGTTTCTAAGGTGGATACATTTT